GTGGTTCTCGGTGACAGCGGCTCTGGATGTGCGGAGGACGAGGGGTCCGTTGACAGGCCGTGCTGGGGAGCCCCGGACTCCCCATCCCTAGAATGCAGCCTTTGTCCCGCGCCGTCCCCGGTGCCGCGGACTCTGTCCTTTGCCCCGTGTGGCGTGACAGCAGGGCCGCGGCTGGCGTCCGCCGTGACGGTTCTGCGGGGCCCCGGGAGGCTCAGCACTGGATTCCGAGACGTGGTGGCGGCCGGGGGCGGGCCTGGAAGGGAGCCCTGGGGGCTGTCTTGGTTCCACCGCAAGCCCAGGGGCCAGGCTCGCGGCCCAGGCGCCAGCGGCCCGGCTGCGCGGGGCTGCGGTTGTGGGTTCTCTGGAACCCTTGGTCTGGGTGTCAGGCTGCCGGGGTCCAGGTTTTGTCTGGGGGGCTCTGGAGGGCTGCTTCGGTGAGTTGGGTCCTACGGCGATGACCTTGGGTCGGTGGTGTCCACCCCTGGTTTCAGGTGCGGCCTGACGCTGAAGCTGTGTGCCCAGGCCGCGACCTTGGCCCTGCCCTGGCCTTGGTCTTCTTGTTGGCAGGCTCGCCAGGGCGCCAGGCCTAGACACAGCCCAGGCGGGTGGGCCACGGATACGGAGGTCAGGTGCCCCTCGGCCAGGAGCGCCCACTTTGTGCCTCTGAGGCGGGTGCGGCCTGTGACCACCCACAGCTTGTGGCCGCCTTCCCACACCTCTTCAGTGTGGCCCCCCCGCGCCTGTCCGTTCCCCAGCGTGGCCACGTGTAGGGCTGGACCCTGTCTCCAGGGCCCTGAGAGCTGAAGCCCCTGAGGAGATGCGGGTGCCCGGCCTGAAGCCTCTCCTTGGGGACCGGCCCGCATCTCCCACCTGGGCCCACCGTTGAGCCCCGAGCTCGGTCTCGCTGGCCCCTGCGGGCGGAAGGGTCTCTCGGTGGGCTCCTGGCCCGTCAGCCGCGGCCCTCTGGCCCCGGGGTTGAGGCGCAGGGGCAGCCTCCTCCTCCCGAGCTGCCGTGCGGGTCCTCCGTGGCCAATGTCGCGCCCACTCCCGGCGGTGTCGTGGTTTCATGAGACTTGGAGCCCAGCAACCCTTTTAAGTTAGATAAACCCACGACGGGGGGCCTGGCACACGGCTCCGGGGGCGGCCCCGGCTGTCAGCGGTGGTGTGGGCTCCACAGACCCCTGCAGCGGCCCGTCCGGGTGCCCAGGCTGGCCGGCGCGCGGGAGGCCTAGCGGCCTCTGGGGAGCCTGGTGGCGTGAGCCTGCAGCTGCGGGTGTCCAGCAGCTGTGGGCCGAGTGCGGGAGCGCGCTGGTGAGGGGTGGCTCACCTGGGTGGCTCGGAAGGTGGGGTGCCGCGCGTTTTTGGGGACCCCGGGCTCGCCCCCGTCACGGCCTGTGTTCTCTGGCCTGTCTCAGGTGCTCCCCGCAGCCGCTGGCTCATGAGGCGCTGGGCAGGGGGCGCCTTCTGAAGGCCGCAGGACAGGTGTGCCCTGGCTCCGGCCCTCCCGCAGCCTGCGGCCTCCCTTGCCCGGGGCTGCCCGGTGCTGGTGTGGGGTCCCCGGGCCTCTGTAAGTGGGAACCTCCAGGCGGACATGGCGCCCGGGGTGACGCCCCCGCAGCTGCCGAGCACACAGAGTCCAGGAGGCTGTTTCCCACGCTCTGAGCAGCTTTGTCCCGTCGGAGCCACCCGAGAGGCGTGGGGCACGCCCGCCTGCCGGGCTCGGGGACCGGCCCCGTCCGAGTGGCCGGGAGACACAGGCTGCCGACGGGACCGAGCGTCGGGCCACTGTCCACGCAGCTGCTGGGTGCAGCATAGCCCCTGGGGCCTCCGAGTCGGTGGCCCTCTTGCAGCCCGCCCTGCCGGAGGCCCGCCACTGGTCGGGGGGGGGGGGCTCCGTCACGGTCAGGAGTGGTCCTGAGAGGCACTGGTGGGCAGGTCACCGAGGGGCTGCCTGCTGCGCGGGGCCTCTGGCCCTCAGTGTTGCTGGGAGGCAGCTTCCAGCGGGCGTGGCCGCGGTGCCCACCTGCTGCGGTCTCTGGGTGGGTGACTTGGCTCCAGACCGACGTGGGGGGCTTGAGAACAGTCGACTCCAGCCCTGGGCTCTCAGGGCGGTCTGTCTCGCGCGCGCCAGGGCCTGGGTGATTGTCCATCTCCGCTCGCCGCTCCGCGGGCCCAGCGGTCAGTGTCTGAGCCGCCATCGAGCAGGAGCGGGGCTGGCGCGGCTGCCCTGGCGGCGTCCCGATGTCGCCGGAGCTGGTCCTCCGGCAGCAGAGGGGCAGTTGTGGCGTCTGCGGCTGTGCAGCCGCGCTGAGCCTGCCTGCGCCCCCAGGCCGCGCCAGGAGAGGGCCCACGGGCGCGGACACACCCCGCGCCGGCCCCTTCTCTGTCCTCCTGCTCGCGTCCTCGCAGCTCTGGCCGTGAGCTGCTGGCCCGGGGACTTCTCCGGAGCTTCCCGCGATAGAATGTTTGAGACACGAAGCCGGGTCTTCGCAGCCCCTGCCTGTGGGCCTGTGGCACGGCGCGGGGCTCCACAGCCGAGTGGACAGTGGCAGCGTGGGGTGCGCGCGCGCGTGAGGGGACAGTGGGCGTTTCTGGGGCCGACGCATCTCCGCGGTGAGCTGTCCTGAGGAGCTGCGGCCCGGGGTTGCTCCCGGGCGGGTGTGCCTCTCGGGCGGTTCCCTGCGTGTTCCTTCCTGCTCACCTGGGCCCGCGGCCCTGTCCTGCTCCGCCGCGGCGGGCGTCCCGGCAGCCAGAGGCCAGCACGGCCCCCGCCTCCGGGGAGGACGGGGACTCGGGGGGGTCGTAATGCCAACAAGCACTTGCACGGTTGATGTTTCGACAGTTTTTCGCCCAGTAGATCCGCACGAGATGTTTCCGTCTCTCCACGCTTTTGTGGTATAAAAGCTTGAGGAACGTGGCTCCTGGGGGTAGCCCGGGGCAACGCCCCCCCACAGCCGCGCGTGTCCGGCAGGTTGCCCTCACAGCCTGTGGGGCTCTTCACCGGGGCTCACCGAGCCCCCACGTGGGCGGAGTGGGCAGCATGTCGAGTCTTCCAGACCCTGCCGCGGCCCGTCCTGCCCCGTGACTGCTCTACGGCAGATCTGGGCCTGGGACCCTGGCCTGGCCAGTCAGCGTGGGTCCTTGCGCGCGGGAGGTGGGGGGTGGCGCCCACCTCCCCTGTTGGACTGTCCCTGTCCTCATCTCAGGCACACGGTGCTGGGCGGGGCCTCCTGTGCTCGCGGCCAGAACCGCGCGGGACGTTGCAGCCTCTCTCCAGCCGCTGCTCCCTGGAGGGCCCCCAGGGCGGGGTGAGGGGCCGGTCGCCCCATTCAGGTGCCCCAGCTCCGCTGCCGTGCCCCTAGTTATCCTGTGCTGGACCCGTGCTCGGCGTGTGCGGCCTGACTGCGCTACCCTGTGCAGCTGTGGGGCCTGCGGCCGCCAGGCTCCCAGTTCTCGGCAGCTCAGGAGAGGGCGGTGCTTGGGCAGCAGCGGCCTTGTGCCAAGGGGGTGCCAGAAACAGCAGCTTCTCGCAGCGAGCGTCTTGGGGGAAGGGGTCTCACGTGTCCCCCTTAAATTGGAGCTCGAGCAGCTCAGGGCGCCGCGTCCTTCCTACGGCGTCTGCGCGGGAAGCCCCAGACTCTGGTTTCCCGAGAGCCGTTGAAAGCGAGTCCAGCCTGGCGGGCGGAGCGGCGCCTGCCCTACGGCCCGCGTGCGGGCCCTGAGCCTGGAGGCCTCTCCTTGCCGGCCCCTGCGCCGCCTGGGCTGCGTGAGGTGAGCGGAACGGGGCCGTGTCCCGGCTTCCCACGGGCAGCCACCGTGGCCGAGGGAGCCCTGCCTGCTGGGAGCACCAGCGCTGCGCCCGCTGCCCTGCCCGGGGCCGTCTGGGCAGGGGCCGGCCAGCTCTCCCTCCCGGACGCTGGCCCCAGCACTCCCGTCTCCTCTCTGCCGCCGGTCACTGTCGGGGGCTCGGGGCCAGGGCCGGACACAGCAGAGCCCGAGGACCCCTCGCCCAGGGGTGGGTCCCATGGCGGCGTCCAGTCCCGTGTCCAGCCCGGTCGGCCCGGCTCGACGTGGGTGCGAGGAGGCCACTCGCCGGTGTCCTCGCGCTCTGTCACCGTGTGGCGGCAGGGAGCTGGGAAGGCTCCTCCTCCCACGGTCCTGCTGGGGGGGCGTGGGTGAGGCTGAGCTCACAGAGCGGGGTGCGGGGAGGTCACCCTGTGCTCTGGCTGTGGGGCTCCCCCAGTGCTGGGCGCCTGGGCACCCTCTCTGTGCCCTTCCCACTGCACGTCCCTACGCAGCTGGGGCGTCTTCTTTACCCCCGACTTTCCGTCGCGCAGAGATCACGAATTGGGGCCTCCTGCGGCTGCTCTGCATGGAAGCGCTGGCGCTGCCCTGCGGGGTGTGAGGCGTGGGCGGGCAGGGGTGCGGGTGGGTGGTCCTTGCTTTGATTCTGAAAATTTTGAGCGTCAGCCTCTGTTTACAGCTCCCGGGAATCAGCTGGCGCCGCGCACATATGTTTGGGGCTGTTGCTCGGGTGACGGCCCGGGTCTCCCGCCCACGGGGCTCCTGCAGGGGGTGAGGGGGGTGCCTGTCGGCCTCCCCTGGGAGGAGCTGGAGCAGCCCTGCCCCCACAGCTCCCGCTCCGTACTGCCCGTGTCCTCAGAGCCCACACCCGGGGCGCCTGCGTGACAGCAGCCTGACCACGTGCGTCGCCCGGTGGAGACAGCCCCACGCTCCGCCCCGTCCTCTGGGGGCGGCGCTGCCTCGAGCCCATCGGGCCGCTGGGTCTGGGGGTGCCCTTCGCCGCGGCCCCCCCCCCCGGGGTGCCTCTGGGGGACCCTCAGCTGCTCTTGTGTTTCTTTCTTAGTCTTACCTTCTTCAAAGGAGCGACGCTCCCTGCAGCCCTGGGGGGGGCGTGTGTCCGTCTCGGGGTTGCTGGCCCGTCGCGTGGGTGGGGCACCGGCCTACCCGTCCTAATCCCGTCCTCTCTCCCGGAGCAGGTAAAGGAAGAGGCGCCGGCAGCGTCGATGACGGCGGCGTGAGGGAGGACGACGATGCCCAAGGGCGGGAGCTCCAGGACGCCACAGCAGGGAGACGGCGCCCTCAGCAGCGACATGGTGGAGAAGCCGGCCGGCAGGAAGGTGGGCGCGCAGCTGGGCTTCGGCGGGAGCGCCGGGCGCGTGCGTGGGGACCCAGGCCGGCGCGGTGGGTGCCGGTCGGGGCGCAACAGGCTGGGCCAGGAGGCCGGTGTGCGCCCGGCCCACACCACTGGGGCCGCGGCTCCCCGGGCTCCGAGAGCGGCCGAGCCCGCAGGAGAGGGCAGGCGGGCGCAGGGCCGCGGCTCGGCCCCTGCGCGTGCCTGTCGGCGGTGGGTGTGCCTTTGCGCCGGGCCCCCCAGGCCCTGTCCAGGCGCTGCCTCTGGCCTCCGGGTGCGTCTGGGGAGTGGGGGGCGGCCCTGTGGTGGGGGTCGTCCTGTCCCAGGCGGGTGCCCCGTCGGGGGCAGGCGGTGTTGGTGAAGGGGGGCCCAGGGCCCGGGTGTCAGCTCACGAGGGCAGGTGCCCCCGGGCTCCGGGCCGTTGGCCGCCGGATGGCTGTGGCGCAGCAGGTGCTCGGCTTTGCTGGCGTCCGCGGGGCTGTGGCCGGGCTTCTCGCGTGGGACGGTCAGCGGGCGCCGTGGCCGAGGTTCCTGCCGTGGGCGCGTGTCGTGGGGCGCAGGGCCCCGGGGGTCTTGGTCTTGGGTGCTGGTGCCCCGTGTGCGGAGAGCACGCGTCGTGGGCAGCGTTGCGTTTCTCACGGGCCTTTTCTGTGGCTGTTGTGATGACGGTGGCTCGGTTACAGGGTGGGGGAGGGCGCCCTGAACCCCCAAACCTGCCCACTCTGGGCCCTGCCGTTCTCTGCTTCAAGATGCACTCTGGCGCGGAGACCTGCACCGGGAAGGGATTTTAATATGGCTGCGTGCACGGGGGCATCCGCCCCAAGCCAGCCGTCCCCGCGCGGTGCAGGCCCAGCCCGACGGGGTGGCCCAGGGCAGGGCCGCGGGGCCCGGAGCTGCCCGTCTGAGGCCCTGCTGGCGGGGCTCACGGGAAGGGGCAGAGGGGCCGGGCGGGGCTGGGGCGGAAGGAGCCGCGTCAGCCCCGAGGTCCCGGCTGCCGCCGTCCGCCCCCGCGGGGCTCTCACCCGCGTCTGTCCACCCTGCCCAGTGCCGAGAAGCTGCGCAACCCCCCCCCCCCCGGGCCGGGGTGGTGGGTCCAGGCCGTGGCCAGGAGCCCTCCTTGTGGCCGCAGCTCAGCTGCGAGTGCAGGGGCTGTGGGCCTTCGGAAGGCGGCAGTGCCCCGTCTTGGGGTGCTCTTCCCAGGAGGCCCTGGTGCTGTGAGGGCACCATGTTCGCCAACAGCTTCCCTGGGGGAGACTCCGGGAGGGCCGTGCAGTCCAGGTGGGGCTGGCGGGGCTTCCTGGCCAGGCGCCGCGTCGCCGGTGTGGGGCAGGGCAGCATTGTGGGGACCGCCCAGCAGTCCCCCCGACAGCACCGTCAGCTGGGCTGGCTGAGACTGTCCAGCCCGGTGGGAGCAGATGGCCTGCGCCGCGGGGGCCCAGCGTCCCGATGGCGGTGGGGGGCTCTCGCCTGCGTGCCCCTCGGGCTCAGAGGCTTCGCGGTGGCTGGGCCGTGGCCCCCCAGGCCTGGGTCTCCCGCGCCTGAGGACGCGGGCTGGGCTCTGGCTCAGGGGGCGTCTGATCGCGCCCTTTGCTTTCCAGGATAAAGATAAACTTTCTCTGACCAAGACCCCGAAGCTGGACCGCGGCGATGGCGGCAAGGAGGTGAGGGAGCGGGCGAGCAAGCGGAAGCTGCCCTTCTCCGCGGGCGCCAATGGAGAGCAGAAGGACTCGGACACAGGTACCGCGGCCGGCGGAGGCGCCCTGCTGCGCGGGGGTGGTCTGGAGTTGGCGCCGCCGCCCGCAGGCAGCCCAGAGGAGTGGACCCGCCCTCTGCGCGCTCGCCCGCGTGCCCGGCAGCTGGCACTGAGGGCAGCGCCCGAGTCTCCTTGGGCTGAGGAGCGGCCGTGGGGCCTCTGTGGCCGCCGTGCGTGAGTCGGCGGCGGGCGAGGGGCCTTTGTGGCATCCGTGCCGGCTACCCTGGGGCGTGTGCCTTGGCTTCTCCCCGCGGCGGCTGCTCGTGGGAGAGGAGCGGGGTCAGGAGGGCCTGGGCCTCGCCCCACTGTGTTTGTCCTGCTCTGCAGGCGGCCAAGGAGGGCCCAGGCACCTGAGGGCGGGAAGCCTGGGGCGGTAACCCAGTGCAGCGGCAGAGGCCCCCGCGGGCCGGGGGCTGTGTGCACAGGCCCTAGGGTCCCGGCCTGAGATGCGGGGGGAGTCCGGAGCTGGTCTGAACTGCAAGCGGCGTGGACACGCAGGCCCGGGGGCCGCAGGCGGGCTCTGACCAGGAGCGGTTCCCTCCAGGGGGCCGCACTTTGGGAACAGCACGGGGCTGGCGCAGAGCCCGGGACGCAGGCGCTGGTGGGGATGGGCCGTGGGGTGCCCCTGGGAGTGTCGCGCTGCAGCCCGGCTCCTGAGGACACACGCCCGCAGGCCTGCGGCCTCCCTACAGAGCATGGGCTCTGGAGCGTCCAGCTGGGTGGCGTGGCGGCGGGAGACAGCAGGTGGTGCGCGCCAGGCCTCCCTCCGGTGTTCAGGGCTGGTGTGTGAGCAGGAAGAGCAAAGGATACTTGAGGGCGCTCTGGGTGAGCACGTGGGCCGCACACGCAGGTGGTGGGCATCGGGGCTGCCCTCTGCTCCCAGCCTGGCACCGACGCCATTTGCTGTCAGAGGAGCGGGGCCCCGGAGGCCGGCTGAGGGCTCCGCAAAGGCCGCAGCCTGGAGCAGCGGTGGGGGCCGCCCACGTGAGCCCGTGCAGGGAGGAGGTGGGCTGTGTCCTTCCTGCTGCTGCTGGGCTGGGGCTACAGGGAGCGCGGCGAGCCCCCCAGAGACCGCGTGGTGCCTGAGCCGTCCTGCGCGCCCGCATCAGTGCCGAGGGGGCTGGGCCTTCTGCCCGGGCCCTGCCCGCAGCCGGGTCCCCGTTTGGCCACATTGCCTGGTGACACAGACCGCAGGCCGGCGCCTCCGGACATGCGGGCCAGGCCGGGGACTCGTCCACCCTCTGAGGAGCCTCGCCAATCAGCAGCTCCCATCCAGCGTCGGAAGGGGGAACATGACCCTTGTGCCTCCAGCGCCTGCGGCGGAGCTGCCGGAGCAGCGCTCAGCCCGAGGCCGCCCCCGTCCTTGGCCTGTCCTCAGCCTGGCCACACAGGCGCCGTCCGCTCCGGCCTTCTGAAGGGGCCGGGCAGGGCGGGGCTTGGCCCTCATGAGGCTCGGCACCAACCTGGTCCGCCACTGCAGCCCCGCCGAGCTCCTGGGCCCCCGGCGGCAGCACCGTGACCTCCATCTGGACACAGGAGGCCGGCCGGGGCCTCACAGGCCCGTTCCTCCCCGCGGTGACCGTGGCGCTGGTCTGTAAGGGAGGGAGGCGGGCGTGGAGCTGAGGGACGGCAGCCCGGCCAGAGTGTGACGCCTGCTGGGAGGGCTGGGCCTGCGTGCAGACAGGCCCGGACAGGCCTGTGTCTCCTGACCAGGCCTGGTGGCTAGGCCATGCGGGCGCCCTGCTCGGGAGGCCAGCTGGGCACTGGAGGCTCTGCGGGCCGGGCCGGCGCCCCGAGCAACCCCAAGGCCTGTGCCTGTGGGGTGCCCCTGCCCCGTGCCCGCACCCAAGGCTTTAGCGCCGGCCTCCTGGGAACCGTGCAGGGCAGGCCTGGTGGGCGGAGCTGGTCCAGCGCGCGCAGGCTCTGACCCCAGGCCTCCCGCCCACCCCGTGGCAGCCCCTCCAGCCTGTCCACTCTCACGAAGCTTCCAGGCCCAGGACGGTCCTCAGGCAGCACCTGGCCAGGTGCTGGCAGGGACGCGGGGCCCTAGGGGAGACGGTGCAGCAGGCGGAGCAGGGGCGCCGCGGCTCCAGGAGGCAAGGGGTCGGGAGCCTCAGGGCAGCCAGCCCACCCGGGGGTGAGGGGCGCTGCTGCCTGCAGTGTGCCGGGGAGGAAGCGGCCCCAGCGTGGCCGTCAGTGGACAGCTAAGTGGATCGTGACTCAGACGCGGCCGGGTCGGACCCGCAGGCCCCCGTGTGGTCTTCAGGGTCTGTGCGGTGGGGGCGGGTGGAGAGCCTTTACCCCGACCTGGGCCGGTTGGGTCGTCCTGTGGCTCCTTCCTCAGCGCCCCGGAGGGTGGCGTGTGTTCCCGGTGGCTCGGTGGTCCCCTTGGGCGGAGTCCCGGGGTGCGTGGCTCCGCCGTGCGTGCGGAGGTCGAGCAGCCGGCAGCGCTGCTGCTGGCCAGGTGCTGGGCAGGGGCCGCCTGGGGTGCCGCGTCGGCGTTCTCCGGACGCTGTCAGGCGCGCGCCCTACAGAAAGCGTGTCTCTGCGCGTGGAGGCGCTGGGACGTGTCTGGACTGGGTGGGGAGGCCGGGGCACTGCCCAAGGCTGGGTGGGCGTGTGGCGAGGTGGCCAGCTAGGTGGGCTCTAGGGGCGCTCCGGGGGCATTGAGTGAAGTGGGGTGCCTCAGGCTGTGGCCTGGGGTCTGCTCCCGCGCGGGCCCCACCCGCCGAGGCCGGGCAGAGGCGGCAGCTTTGGGCTCCTGGCCTGTGGTGCCGGGGCAGTGTCCGTCCTCACCCCGGGGCTCCGTGAGCGGCCGCCCCGCACCCCTGCGTGGCCTGAGGCTGGAGCGTGTGCTGGTAGGTGAGGTGGCCGAGCAGGCGCGGCCGAGCGGGCTGTGCCTCGTGTCTCGTTAGTGCTCTGTGTTGATGCCTTTAGATGCCTCCAGCCCAGTCCACGTCGTGGCACTGCAAGGCTGGCTCGCTCCTCGAGGCGCCACGCCCTGAAATGGAGGTTCCTAGAAGCAAGAAGAAAGGTACAGTACGACAGCCGCTTGGCCTGCTTGCGTGTTCTGGACCGTGTGGAGGCGGGTCGGGGAAGGCGGCCGGAGCCAGACACGCGTGCTTAGGCAGAGACGTGCTTGCGAGCGCCGGGCCATGCGCCTCCGCCTCGAGGGCGGCGGGCGGTCCGGGAGGCACCTGCCGCGGAGCGGGGTCGGGGCGCCGCCGCGGGCGTCCGGCAGCTCTGAGGCGGCGGGTGGCTCGCGGCTCTCCGGCCGAGGTGACGGCACCGCCCGCCCGGCGTCCCCGGTGCCCGGAGGCTGCGAGGCGGCAGGCAGGGCCCGCGGGTCGGGGACGCGCCGGCACAAAGTCTGCCCTCTCTCCACCGCCTCGCAGAGAAGCAGGGTCCCGAGCGGAAGCGGATCAAGAAGGAGCCGGTGGCCCGCAAGGCCGGGCTGCTCTTCGGCATGGGGCTGTCGGGGATCCGCGCCGGCTACCCCCTCTCCGAGCGCCAGCAGGTGGCGCTGCTCATGCAGATGACGGCCGAGGAGTCGGCCAACAGCCCAGGTGAGCCCAGCGGGAGGGCCCGGCCGGGGCGGCCACACCTGTGCCCGCCAGCCTCGGTGACGCCGCGTCCTCTCCGGCCGCAGTGGACACGACACCAAAGCACCCCTCCCAGGCGGCCGTGTGTCAGAAGGGGACGCCCAGCTCTGCCTCCAAGACCAAAGACAAGGTGAACAAGAGGAACGAGCGTGGGGAGACGCGCCTGCACCGCGCGGCCATCCGGGGGGACGCCCGGCGCATCAAGGAGCTCATCAGCGAGGGCGCCGACGTCAACGTCAAGGACTTCGCAGGTGGGCGGCCATGGGCCCCGGGGCTGCAGGGTGGGGCTCCCCAACTGCGGGTGGCGGCGAGGGGCTAAGGGCCAGGAGAGCCACGTCCTGTGTGTCCTCGGCAGGCTGGACGGCCCTGCACGAGGCCTGCAACCGCGGCTACTACGACGTGGCCAAACAGCTGCTGGCCGCGGGCGCCGAGGTGAACACCAAGGGCCTGGACGACGACACGCCCCTGCACGACGCCGCCAACAACGGGCACTACAAGGTGGGCTTCTGCGCGCGTGGGGGCCGCCCCGCCAGGGGAGTGGATGGTCATGCCCCAGAAGGGGGCTCTGGGGGCTCAGCGGGGGTCCCCGAAGCCAGTGCAGATGCCCCCACGATCGGCCACCATCTGCAGACCGGGGCACTGAGCCGCTCCCCCATCAGCGGGGCTGGGGCCAGGGAGTACCACGCACGGGACCGAGGTGGTGCCAGCTGGGGAGATGGCGTCGGCAGACCCCGCGGTGTCCACTGTGGGGCCTGAGCGCCGAGGTGGGCACTGGGCTGTGGGGTCCGACAGGTGGGGTCCGAGGCCCAGGAGCCGGAGCGGCCTCCCCGGTGGGATGGCGCCGTCGGCTGCCGGGCTCGTGTTTTGAGGCCCTTCTGGGCAAGTAAGTGGTGGAAGCTCGTGAGCCGTCTGGGGTTTGCTCAGAAGAACGTGGGCAGGGTCGGGGGAGGTTGCGTGAGGGCCTCAGCCGGCAGAGGCCCTGCCCCCCACGTCCCCACCCCCGAGGGCTGTGGCTCCTCTGGGGAGTGCTGCCCATGGGTGGGAGTGCTGTCTCCAGCCTCCCGCGCCCTGGGATGCAGGCCCAGGCCGCTGCTGCCGAGGGCCACGGGAGGGCCGAGGGCATCTCCCTGCCACCCAGCCTGGTCTCAGCGCCGCCCCGCGCCCGCCGCTGTCTCCTAGGTGGTGAAGCTGCTGCTGCGGTACGGGGGGAACCCCCAGCAGAGCAACAGGAAGGGGGAGACGCCGCTGAAGGTGGCCAGCTCGCCCACCATGGTGAACCTCCTGCTGGGCAAAGGCACCTACACGTCCAGCGAGGAGAGCTCGACCGGTCAGTGCCGGGGCCCGGGCGGGGTGGCCCCTCTGCTCCGCGTGGGGTCTCGGGGCCCAGAGGCCCGTCCTTGCTTCGGCGGGGGGGGGGGGCCGCCGCTGCCCTGTCCGCGGTGCCCCAAGCCTGCCTGACACCCCCTCTGTCCCCCGCAGAGAGCTCCGAGGAAGAGGATGCCCCCTCGTTCGCCCCGTCCAGCTCCGTCGATGGCAACAACACGGACTCAGAGTTCGAGAAGGGCCTCAAGCACAAGGCCAAGACGCCCGAGCCCCAGAAGGCCGCGGCCCCCGTCAAGGACGAGTACGAGTTCGATGAGGACGACGAGCAGGACCGGGTGCCCCCCGTGGACGACAAGCACCTGCTCAAGAAGGACTACAGGAAGGAGGCCAAGGCCACCAGCTTCGTGTCCATCCCCAAAATGGACGTGAAGAGCTACGCAAAGAACAGCGCGGCCGCGCCGAAGAAAGCCGTCCACCGCATCCTGTCGGACTCCTCGGACGAGGACGACGTGGGCGTGCCCGCGGGGCCGGCCGAGAAGCTGCGGCTCGCGCACGCGCTGCTGCCCGGCGGCAAGGCCCGGGAGCCCGCGCCCGCCAAGCCGCAGAAGGAGAAGAACAAGGTGAAGAAGAAGCGGAAGAAGGAGCCGAAAGGCAAGGAGGTGCGGTTCGGGAAGAGGAGCGACAAGTTCTCCTCGGACTCGGACAGCGAGTGCCCGGACAGCGGCGCGGACGACGCCGACTCGGTGCTCAGCTCCGGCGGCCTCAAGGAGTCCCCGCTGGTGCTGAAGGACCCCTCCCTGTTCAGCCCCCTGTCCGCCTCCTCCACCTCGTCGCACGGGAGCTGCGCCGCCCAGAAGCACGCGCCCGGCCTCTCGGAGCAGCACGCCAAGCACTGGCGCACGGACAACTGGAAGACCATCTCCTCCCCCGCCTGGTCCGAGGTCAGCTCCCTGTCGGACTCCACGCGGACGCGGCTGACGAGCGAGTCCGACTGCCCCTCCGAGGGCTCGAGCGTGGAGTCGCTGAAGCCCGCGCGGAAGCGGCAGGAGCACCGGAAGAGGGGCGGCCTGCAGAGCGCGCTGCCCGAGAAGCGCAGCGCCGTCCACTCCAGCGCGGACGGCGCCATCCCCAAGCTGGACAAGGAGGGGAAGGTCGTCAAGAAACACAAGATGAAACACAAACACAGGAGCAAGGACAAGGGGCTGGGCCCCGTCGGCCAGGAGCTCAAGCTCAAGAGCTTCGGCTACGAGTACGAGGACGCCAAGCCGCGGGCGGACAAGGCCCTCCTGCTGGACAGCGACCTGCCCGCCGAGAGCAAGCTGCGGGCGCTCAAGCACGACCGCGAGCACTTCCGGAAGGAGGAGCGGCCCGGCAAGGCGAAGCCGGAGGACAAGGACTGGCTCTTCAGGGACGAGGGGGGCAGGGTCTGCAGGGAGGACAAGCCCCCCCGGAGAACCAAAGAGGCGGGCCGGGCCCTGCGCGAGGAGCGGGAGCGCGGCCTCCGCGCCGAGCGGGAGAAGCCGGCCAAGGAGAAGTCCCCGAAGGAGGAGAAGCTGAGGCCGGGCCGCGAGGAGAGGAAGAAGAAGCCCAAAGACAGAGCCGCCCGGCCGGACAGGAAGGGCGAGGGCAAGGAGGAGCGCGCGAGCCGCGAGAAGGCGCCGGCGCCCCGGCGGGAGAAGGCCTTCCGCGACGAGCCCGCCTTCGACGAGTACCGCGGCGCCGGCCAGTTCCTGGAGCCCGACGACGCCAAGTTCGGGCTCTCCGACGACCAGCAGGACCGCTGGCTCTCCGACCTGTCCGACTCCTCCTTCGACTTCCGGGGCGAGGACAGCTGGGACTCGCCCGGGACGGACTTCAGGGACCTCAAGGGCGACTCGGTGGCCAGGCTGATCCTGGAGACGGTGAAGGAGGACGGCAAGGACCGCAAGCGCGAGGCCCGGGCCCGCGAGAAGCGGGAGCACGGGGAGCGGCGGGCCGAGCGGGACGCCCTCTTCAGGAAGAAGGAGCGGGACCCCCTGGACAGGAACCCCGAGAAGAGGCGGGAGCCGGCCGAGAAGCACAAGGGCCCCCCCGGCGGCCTCCCCGAGAAGGACCGGAAGCGCAGAGAGGCCGCCGAGGGCGGGCGCGACAGGAAGGAGGCCCTGGAGGGCGCCCGGGAGCGCAAGGACGGCAGGGCCAGGCCCGACGAGGCCTTCAGGGAGGAGCCCAAGGAGCTGGGCTGCGACGGCGTCTTCCGGGACCGGCCCGACGGCGACCCGGGCAGGAGCCTGGAGCCCTGGGAGCGGCACCACCCGGCGCGCGAGCGGGAGAAGCGGGAGAAGAGCAAGGCGGAGAAGCACAGGGACAAGTCCAGCGACAAGGACAGGGCCGAGAAGGCCGGCCCGGACAGGGCCCCCAAGGACAAGGACCCGGACAAGGGCTTCAAGGAGAAGAAGGACGCCAAGGACAAGCACCGGGAGCCCCACGGCCGGGAGCGCGAGCGGAGGGCGGCCCCGGAGCCGGCGCGGGAGCGGAGGGACAAGGCCCTCGCCGGCGCGGCCGCGGAGGACGCCCCCGAGAAGAAGGACGACAGGAAGGGCAAGGAGAAGAGCTGGTACATCGCGGACATCTTCACGGACGAGAGCGAGGACGACAAGGAGCCCTTCGCGGCGGCCGAGGCCGGGGAGGCGGCGCGGGCGGACGGCCCGCCCGAGCGGGAGGACGGCGACCGGCACCGCAAGGGCTCCGCCGACCGGCAGCACGCGGACAGGCAGAAGGACAAGGAGCCCCGGGAGAAGAGGAAGGAGCGGGGCGCGGCCGACGGGGGCCGGGAGCGGCGGGAGCGGGGCGCCGACCGGCACAAGGAGCGGCGGGAGAAGGAGCCGGCGGAGAGGTACAGGGAGCGCAAGGACCGGGCCCCCGCCGACGGCGCGCCCGAGAAGAGGCCCAAGCAGAAGCCCCCCGAGCGGGCGGAGCGCAAGGGCGCGGCCGAGGACAAGGCCAAGGGCCGGCACCGGGAGCACGGCCGGGAGCGGAAGGCCGCGCGGGCCGGCGAGCTGGAGCGCAGCCTGCTGGAGCGGCTGGAGGAGGCGGCCCTGCGCGAGGACCGCGAGGACTCCCACGACAAGGCCAGCGAGGCGTCGTCCGACAGCTTCCCCGAGCGCGGCCCCGACCCCGCGCTGAGCGCCCTGCTGGAGGCCGCCTTCCCGGAGCCGCCCGAGGAGCGGGGCCGCGAGCGCGAGCGCCTGCGCCACGCCTCGTCCTCCTCCAAGAAGAGCCACGAGCGGGAGCGGGAGCGGGCCCGGAAGGACAAGGCCGACAAGCGGGACAAGGCCGACGAGCACAAGGACCCCGGCGGCCGCAAGGACCCCGGCCCGCACGACAGGGACCTCCTGGACGCCGAGGCCTACGCGCTGGCCTACGGCGCCAAGGCCGAGCTGGACGAGGAGCCGGACAAGGCCGCGGAGCCGTTTCCCGCCGAGAAGAGGGAGAGGGGCGAGTCCGAGCGGGAGCCGGCCAAGAAGCCGGACAAGGAGCTCAAGCCCTTCGGCGCCGGCGCCCTCAGCCTCCTGCGGGAGAAGCGCCGGCGGGAGCGGCGCCGCGAGCGCTGGCGGGAGGAGAAGGAGCGGCACCGCGACAAGCACCACAAGGAGGAGCCGCGGCCCCCGGCCCCCGGCCGCGAGAAGCCCCGGGACGAGGGCCCGCGGCTCGGGGAGGCCAAGCCCAGGGACAGGCTCAAGGAGAACCCCGAGAAGGAGCGGGGCGACGCGGCCCGGCTGAGCAACGGGAGCGAGCGGCTGCCGCTGCCGCGGGACCCGGGCCGCAAGGACGCCCGGCCCCGCGAGAAGCTGCTGGGGACGGGGACCTGATGATGACCAGCTTCGAGCGGATGCTGTCGCAGAAGGACCTGGAGATCGAGGAGCGGCACAAGCGGCACAAGGAGCGCATGAAGCAGATGGAGAAGCTGCGGCACCGCTCCGGGGACCCCAAGCTCAAGGACAGGGCGCGGCCGGCCGACGACGCCCGCAAGAAGAGCCTGGACGCCTCCGCCAGGAAGCCCCCCGGGCCGGACCCTGCCCCGAAGGACAGGAAGCCCCGCGAGCCGGCGCCCGCCGCCCCCGCCGCCGAGGGCAAGCCCCTGCCCGCGCCCGCGCCGGACGCCAGGGACTGGCTGGCGGGGCCGCCCGCGAGGGAGGGCCTGCCCGCCTCCCCCAGGCCGGACCAGGGCCGGCCCACCGGCGTCCCCCGCGCCGCCCCGCCCTGCCCCGGCTACGAGGAGGCCATGCACACGCCCCGGACCCCGTCCTGCAGCGCGGACGACTACCCCGACCTCATGTTCGACTGCACGGAGCCCCCGCCCGCCCCCGGCACGGTCGCCGGCACCGGCTCCCCCTCCTTCTACGACCGGTTCTCGGCGGCGGCGGCGGCGGCCGGCGGGATCTCGGAGACCCCCGGCCAGACGCCCACCCGGCCCCTGTGCACGAGCCTGTACCGGTCCGTGTCCGTGGACATCCGGAGGACCCCCGAGGAGGAGTTCAGCGTCGGGACAAGCTGTTCCGGCAGCAGAGCGTCCCCGCTCCGGCCAGCTACGGCTCGCCGGGGCCGCTCCTGGAGGACAAGGCCCCCGGGCCCCCGGGCCCCGCGGACAAGTTCGCCTGCCTGTCCCCGGGGTGTTACTCGCCGGACTACGGCGCCGCCTCCCCCAGAGTGGACGCCCTGCACTGCCCGCCGGCCGCCGTGGTCACCGCCACCCCTCCCCGACGGCGCCTTCTCCACGCTGCCGGCCAAGTCCCCGCCCGCACACAGAGACGCGCTGTCGGCCCCTTCCATGGAGGGCGCCCTCCCCCCCGACCTGGGCATCCCCTGGACGCCACGGAGGACCAGCAGGCCACGGCGGCCATCATCCCCCCCGAGCCCAGCTACCTGGAGCCCCTGGACGAGGGGCCCTTCAGCACGGTCATCACCGAGGGGCCCGTGGAGTGGGCGCACCCTGCCGCAGAGCAGGCCCTGTCCTCTGGCCTGCTGGGGGGCGCCGCCGAGAACCCCGTCAGCTGGCCCATGGGCTCGGAGCTCCTGCTGAAGTCTCCGCAGCGGTTCCCGGAGTCCCCGAAACACTTCTGTGCCGAGGAGCCCCTCCACGCTGCTGTTCCGGGGCCCTTCGGCCCCACCGAGGCCCCTTACCCGGCCTCCCCTGTCCCCTACCCTCTGTCCGTCCCGGAGCCCGGGCTCGAGGACGTCAAGGACGACTCTGGGGAGGCGGCGGTCCCCGTCCCCGCCTCCGAGGAGCCCACCCCCTTCGCCACCTCCTCCAGGCTGGAGTCCTTCTTCGGTGACTGCAAGGCGCTGCCCGACGCGCCCCCCGACGCGCCCCCCGAGCCTGCGTGCGTGGCCGCCGTGGCGCAGGTGCAGGCTCTGGGGGCCCTGGACGGCAACTTCCTGGGGAACGGCCACGGCCTGGCTGCCCTGGGCCCCGTGGAGGCCGTGCCCTGGTCGGACGCCTTCGCCGGCCCGGAGGACGACCTGGACTTGGGGCCCTTCTCACTGCCAGACCTTCCTCTCCAGCCCAAGGACGTCTCCGACGTGGGGGCAGAGCCTGCGGAAGGGAGCCCCCTCAGCCCTCCAGAGGACACCCCTGCAGGGCCCCCCGCCCTTGCGAGCGGCGGGGACGCAGCCTCGTCGGCCCCCGAGGAACAGCTCTTGCCGCCTCCAGAAGAGGCGCCCCCCGGCCCGAGCCCGACCCTCCCGCGGAGCCCGAGCCGGACGCGGCGCGGCAGGGAGCTGGGGAGGCGGGGGCTCTGCCGGACGAGCAGACCCCCGGGGATGCCGGCCCTGGCTCGGGCCGGAGCCAGCCCCGCCCGAGCAGCTCCTGCCAGGGAGCGCGGACCAGGAGGCGAGGACCCGGATGCCCTGGCCGCGCCCCGCTGCGCCCCGACCCTCCCGCAGACGCGGCTGACCGGGCCGGCCCCCACGACAGCGCCGGGCCGGAGGGGCCCCAGGGCGGCGTCCAGCCCGAAGCCGCGGACTCGGAGCCCAAGCCCTCGCCCGAGGCCCAGAAGGCCCCCCGCGTGGAGGAGGTCCCCCAGCGCATGACCAGGAACCGGGCCCAGATGCTGGCCAACCAGCACAAGCAGAGCTCGCCGCCTCCGGAGAAGGAGCCGGCGCCCGCGCCCAGGGCCCGGGGCCGGGGCTGCGAGGAGGACGAGGCCCAGGCCCAGCACCCGCGCAAGCGCCGCCTGCAGCGCTCGGGCCAGACGCTGCCGCCGCCGCTGCACCCGTCCACGCAGCAGACGCGGGAGGTGATCCAGCAGACGCTGGCCGCCATCGTGGACGCCATCAAGCTGGACGCCATCGAGCCCTACCACAGCGCGACAGGGCGAACCCCTACTTCGAGTACCTGCAGATCCGCAAGAAGATTGAGGAGAAGCGGAAGATCCTCTGCTACATCACGCCCCAGGCGCCGCAGTGCTACGCCGAGTACGTCACCTACACGGGCTCCTACCTGCTGGACGGCAAGCCGCTCAGCAAGCTGCACATCCCCGTGGTGAGTGCGCCCCGCCGGCTGCTGCGCCGGGGGGCTCCTCTCCCCCTCAGCTTGCGCGCGGGGCGGGCGGCGCCTCCTGTCTGCGGCCCTCCCCCTCGCTGGTTAGCCGCCCGGGGCCCCGGGGCCGTGTGGCGGCGGCGCTGTCGTCCCAGGACCCAGGGAGGGGCGGCCTGGGGTGCCCGGCGCGCCCGTCTCACCCGGCACCTGACGTCAGGGCCTGCCGGGCGCGGTGGCGGCCGGGGCCCTCTTCTGGGAGCACCTTGTGCCCACCCCCCACGTGGCTGCAGTTCTTGGGAGCCCTCCCTGGGAGACACCGCGGGCAGTGGGGTTTGGGGTGCTCTTCCGGCGCTGAGCCCCTTGTCTTGGGGCGAGGCTGTGCGGGCAGCCGGCGGCGGCGCTCAGCTCTCGGTGTAGGCTCGCGGCACTGACTCGCTCCCCCATGTGACCCCAGATCGCGCCCCCGCCCTCCCTGGCGGAGCCCCTGAAGGAGCTGTTCAAGCAGCAGGAAGCGGTGAGGGGGAAACTGCGCCTGCAGCACAGCATCGAGCGGGTACGCGGGGCTGGGGGGGTGCGGCCTCGAGGGGTGCGCGGGGCCTGTTGGGGAGTCAGGGCTTGGCTGATGCTGCTCCTCCCCTGCCCCAGGAGAAGCTCATCGTCTCCTGCGAGCAGGAGATCCTGCGCGTCCACTGCCGGGCAGCCAGGACCATCGCGAACCAGGCGGTGCCCTTCAGCGCCTGCACCATGCTGCTGGACTCGGAGGTGTACAACATGCCCCTGGAGAGCCAGGTGGGCGGGCGCGGGGCCCGGAGGCCACTCAGGCCGTGGGGTGGACGGGGGCCTTTCCGTGCATGTGTCCCCGTTGGGTACGCAGAGTCCTCCTGGGGGCCCGGGCTGCTGGGCATGGCGCCCCCTGGCCTGTATACGGCCCCGGGGCCCTGTGAATGAAGCTGGCCGCGCTGGTGCGGGGCCCTCGCGCAGTCAGCCGTCCCCTCCACGGGGTGCCTCCTGCCCCGGGTCAGAGCTGCCTGTGGGGTCAGAGCCTGCTGGTGCCTTGGCCACCTCCGGGCACCGCCCGAGAGCCGGCACCACCCAGTGGGCGCTCTCGCCTGTCTTCCGGCCCAGGGCTGAGGAGCTCTGGACGCTCCTGGCGCCCCGCAGGCCGTGAGGGCGCAGACAGGCTTGCCGGCTGCCGGCACATGCTCGGCGCCGCAGGGAACGTCCGCACCCGTGGCCCCGAGCACACCCGTCCCCTCGCGGCGCCAGCGCTGACAGCTGTGGAGCGGGGCGCCTGCAGGGCCGGGTACTTTGGCATTTGTAAGGGGTGCTCTGGCCAGAGGGGCGCCAGCACAGGCCGGGGGGTCGGGGACGGCACCTAGGAAGAGACCCCCGCGGGGGGGGGGGGGGGGGGGGTGGCGCCTGCCGCAGCTCCTCCTGGAAACCCCTCGTCCCGCGGACCCCGGACGCTGACGCGCAGTCGCCCGTCAACAACAAAATCCATTTTGATGACAAAAAGAGGAGGCGCGTGCCCCGTCCCAGCTCGGGGTGTGCTCGGACGCCCACTGGGGCCCGCGGCACCCGGGTCTCCCGCTCACCGGCCGTTGCTCCCGACAGGGGGACGAGAACAAGTCGGTGCGGGACCGCTTCAACGCCCGCCAGTTCATCTCTTGGCTGCAGGACGTGGACGACAAGTACGACCGCATGAAGGTGGGTGCCCGCCCCGCCCCTCGTGGCCCACGGCCGGCCTCCTGTGGGTGGCGGCCGTGGCTGGCGGGGTCGGGGCCTCGGTTCCCGGAACAGGCGCCGGCCCCGCCAGACACCAGCCTCACTTGGCCCTTTGCTCGCCGACGAGGGCGTGGGCTGGGGCTCCGGCCACGCGGTCTCTGCCCACCGCCTGCCCGGCTGGACCGGGGCGGCCTCAGGGCCTCAGCACAGACGCGGGGCTTCCCTGTAGAGCAGCAGAGTCTGCGCGTCCGGGAGGTCACTCGAAGCCCCAGTGACGGGGACCCCGTCGGTGCCCGGAGGGGACGGGACCTCGGCTGGCGGACGCCGGCGAGGCCCGAGCCGAGCGCCGCGGCGGGTGGGCAGCCCGCCCCTCCCCGGCGCCTGCGCTCTAGGAGCGCAGTCGGGGCCAGCGCGGGCCGCCGCCGCGGGGCCACTCGGACGGAAAAGGGGCGCCGTGGGGCCGGGTCCCGTCCTGACCCGCCGGCTGTGCCCGCAGACCTGCCTGCTGATGCGGCAGCAGCACGAGGCGGCCGCGCTGAACGCCGTGCAGCGGATGGAGTGGCAGCTCAAGGTGCAGGAGCTCGACCCCGCCGGGCACAAGTCGCTGTGCGTGAACGAGGTGCCCTCCTTCTACGTGCCCATGGTGGACGTCAACGACGACTTCGTGCTGCTGCCGGCCTGACGCGCCCGCCCGTCCGCCCAGCACCGCCGCCCGCCCCGTCGGCGGGGACGCAGGGAGAGGCCGCCGTGGGAGCCGGGGAGCCGGCCCGTCCGCAGCCGGCTGCAGGACAGAGCACGAGGGCCCGCGTTCCGTCCCGGTCAGCGAAAGGAAGAACATCCAGGCGCCCGCCCCTCCGACCCCGAGCTCCCGGCCGGAGGGCCAGGGCGCGCCGACCGCCCCCGCGGAGCCGCCGAGGCGTCGGCCTCGGGCCGGGCCGGACGCCGCTCAGAGGGACGCAGAGCCAGGCTCGCCTTCGTGTTTTTAATGGAGTCAAATCCACGTGGTTTGTATATTTTTTCCTTTACTCTTGGGCATTTGGTTTCTCTTTCTGAGAACATAACTTGAAACACTACAGAGCCAATAACCATAGACGCGTACCCGTAAGCTGTACAGTTTTATACACATTCACAATGTACTTTTGCTGCCTTCTAGATAATTTATTTTGCAACACATTACTGCACAGTGTAAATAACTTATGTACAACATTCAGTTCTGTGTAAAGAAATAAATAAATTAATTACATGCTCTTCGTACACGGCGGCGTCCACCCGCTCCCGGAGGCCGGTGCCCGGCGGCGCCAGCGTCCCCCCAAGTCGCCCTTTCATTTCAAAGCCGGTCCTGCGCTCCCCGTGCGCGCGCGCCCGCCCCCCACCCCCGACAGCAAGAGGCGCCACTGCCGCTGCGCCCCGTCCGGGCTGGGCTGGGAGGGCCGCCCTGCATCCCAGGCAGGCAGACCGGGGCCAGGGTGCGGTGGGTCCAGCCTGGCCACGAGCCTGGGGACGCGGAGGGCCACCCCCAACCCCCAGAAGCGCCCTGGAGCCGGGGCAGCAGCAGAGGGAGGCGCTCCTTCCCCCGCCCAGGCCAGCCTGCCCCTGGCGACGGGCTGAGGGCGCGGGGCCGGCGCCTGGGTACCTGCGCTGTGGACGGCTTCCCTGGGAGGCTCCCGGCACAGGACCCGGGTGCGGGCAGCTCGGGGGGCAGGAGCTAGTTGGGAAGGCCAGGCCTCATGAAGACCCGCTTACCCCGGGGGCCAGCTGGCGCGTGCCTGCGGCGCTGCGGGGGTTGTGGGGCCCGGCGGGAGGTGGGGGCCTTGGTGCACACCCTCTGGCTCTCCAGATAGGCCGGCCGCCCCGGTGATGAGCTGGGGCCCTCGACCTCGGGCCTTGCCAGCATGGGAACCCCAGGCCGGCCTCCCCGACGCCGCATGCCGGGCTGGTGCAGACCGGCCCTGGAAGCAGCCGGGTCCCCCCCAGTCAGCTCTGCTCACGTCTGGGGGCCCGACTGAAGGGGGGCTGGCCAGGCGGGCGGGGGAGGCCGTGTCCTCTGGACCAAACTCGAGACGTCCATTTCCCAGGAGACCAGAGCTGGGGGGGCCCTGAGGCAGGCGCCGGGTCAGAGTGGGGCCGCTCTCCTTCCCGCCACACCCTGAGACCCCCAAGGGTCTCCACGGGGCACGGGGCACCCCAGCTGTCTAGCGGCCCTTGGGCCTGCACGGCAGCACGGCCAGGAGCCTGGCCCGGGGCCCGGGCGGGCAACCAGGAGGGCGCCCCGACTGACAGTCCAGCAGGCGTCCCCCAGGGCGGCCCAAGGGCGTGTCAGGGCCGGGGAAGTGAGGCCGCACAGGACCAGACGCCCCGCCGGCACGCGGGAGAGGCCGGGGCCCTTCAATCCGCCGGGGGCTTGTGGGTGTACAAGGCCTTGAAGCAGCCCCTGCAGGGAGAACAGGGCTGAGCGCCCAGGCGCCTCCCTCCCTGAGGCCCCAGCGGGGCCACCATGACCCTCTGACGGCACCGGGGTGTGTGTGTGTGTGTGTGGTGTGTGTGTGTGTGTGTTGTGTGTCAGGCCCGGGGTCGGAGCCGGCGGGGAGGGCCCCACGAGAGCACGGCCTGTGTCGGGGCTCGACGCCTGCTCCCAAAACCTCGGCCACGGTCACGGGACGCGTGCTTGGCCAGCCCGGCCCGCCCCTGGCCAGTCACCCCGCCGGGTGAGTTGCAGGCGCCCGGGGCGAGGCCCCATCGCGGACACCCGGCAGGCGCCCAGCGTGGACGCGCCCGCCCTGGGGCCGAGGGCCGGCAGCACGGAGCCGGGGCGCACACGGTGACGGTTTCCGGGTGCTCGATCACACACCCTGCTCGGACGTGCCCCCCCGCCGGCGCGGAGCCGCCCCTCGGGAAGGGGGACGCAGGAAGGGACACGGGGGGCGGGGGCGCAGCAGGAAGGGCCCGAGCTCCTGCCCCAGACCCACCGGGGCATGCCAGGGCCTCCCGGGCCTTCCCGGGCCTCCCCGGCCTCTCCCGGCCTCGCCCTGGTCCTGCCCGCCCGGGCCTGCCCCCAGGCAGCGCTGGGCCCACACACGCCAGAGCCCGGCCCTGCCGGACGACAGCCGCGGCCTTAGACGCGGGGCACCGAGGGACCGGGCGCCACCCCGCACCGCCCAGCAGCATGAGGCCGGACCGGGGTCCCCGCCCGTGCAGAGAAAGGTCCCCGGACTCGGCGCCACCGACCAGATGCTCCGGAGACAGAAGCGCCAACCCCAGCCGAGCGCAGAGAGACCCTCCCCCTGCGCGCAGGAGCCGCGCGGCCACGAGCTGGAGGAAGGAAAGCCGGCGAGGCGGGGGAAGGCGCCGCACCCACGCCGGGCAGCCCCTGCGCAGAGCAGCGCGCAGAGCTCGAGGAAATATGGCTGGAGATCCCGCGTGGCCCAGCAGCACCCGTGAGCCGTTGGCCCAAGCACCGGAGCACTCTAGGAAGAGGAGCTTCACCCAGGGCCCGCCCCGGCGGCGCAGCGGGTTGAGCGCCGCGCTGTGCAGCTGTCCGCGGCCTCTGCAGCTCGGGTTCGATTCCTGGCCGGCCAGGAGCGACCCACAGGGCGCAGCAGACCCCTCCTGTCTCCCCGCTGCTCCCCTCAGCAGTGGGTTTCGTCAGTCCGCCTGTTCTGCTCCCCGCTCTGGCTCTGGCGAGACACCCTCCCGCGTCTCTGGCCTGTACCCGGTTCTTGTAGAAATAAAATCTTCAAAAAAAAAAAAGTTTCCCCTACGCCTATCACACAGCAGGACTCCCGCGGCTGCCGTTTGCGAACCAGGACCCGTGCCCTTCAGCAGACGGGCGGGCAGGCCGGGACACACACGCAACGGAGGAGAGGGTGGCCTCTGGGACAGAACGGATGGCGCTGTGGCGAGCAGTCACCGCAGAGCAGCAGCCGGCCCGCAGGGGGTTGCCCTCCTCCGCGCAGCACAGATGAAAGCATCGTCCACACACAAAGACCAGAAGGGCTAGACCTGGCACTCGGCGCCGACAGCGAGGAAGAGGTGGGGGCAGGTGGGGCGGGGGCGCGGGAGGGTTGGAAGGGGGAGAGCAAAGCTAGGAAAATAAACTAACAAGAGAGGAAAAAAACCACAAAGGAAAAGACGAGACGTCAGCTCGCACCGGGCCAAGCGGCGGTCGTGAGACAATCGGGACAGGACCCGCCCGCGAGGACGGGCAGAGGCGCCCGCCACGGCCGCCGGGAACACGGGCCCGCCGCGCTCACGCTCCACAGCCCGGAGGTTCCTTAAAAACACTTAGACGCGGGTCTGTCGTGGGCCCCACGGGCCGCGAGGGCAGGCGGCGAGGGAGGCGCGCCGTGGGCCCCGCCAAGACGCCGACCCGCGAGCGCCCGCCCGGGCCAGGCCGCCGGGACGCGGCAGCGGAGCGCGGAGCTCGACCCGGCGCCAGGAGCGCCCGCCCGGCCCAGCCTCTGCGGCGCGCGTGACCCGGACGGACGCCGCCGCCACTTCCCGCTCCCGACCCCGGCAGCCGCGGCGAGCAGAGGGCGCAGGGCGGCGGCGGGCCGGGTGCTGGCGGCGCGGGGAGCGCACGGCTCTCGAGGCACCTTGGGGGCTCCCTGGGGGCGCGGGCCTAACCGAGCCTCTGCAGCGCGAGGCCCGCCCCGCCCGGAGGCAGCCGCAGGGCGCAGCGGAGCTCCCGGCCCGGCCCGGCCCGGCGGGGTCTCGGCAGACGCGCCCGTCCTGCCCGCTGTCCCTGGGAGCCCCGCCCGGTGTCCCAAACGCGCCAAAACTCGCACGAATCCGTGATTCACCGCCCGGGCGGGCGCCGCGGCGGGGCCGCGTCCCGTCTGGCTAAGGGCGTGCTCGCGCGCAAGCGCCGGCGCGGGCCAGGGGCGCGGGGTGAGCCCCCGACACAGCGGGCGCGGGACGGGCGGGGCGGCGGGGAGCCGGGAGTCGGCGGGCGCGGGGGTCGCTCCCTGGCCGGGGATCGAACCGGCGCTCAGAGGCTGCGCCGGCCCGCCGCGGCTCCGGGGAGCCCCGGGTCGGCATCCCGGGTCGGAACCGGCACTAAACCCCGTCAGCGGCCGGCGCCCCAGGCACATGCCGGAGCGGGGCCCCGGCCTCGAGCCCGCGCCGAGTGTGTCGGCCGCGCGTGGCCGCTGCTCCCGGGGCGGCGCCGCCCATCCCGCCCGCTGCCACCGCTCGGCGGGCCGGCTGCCCGCCCGCCCGCGTCCCTCGCGCCCGCGGCTGGCGGCGACCCGGCCCCCAGGCCCGGACGGGCTCGCGGGGCAGCGGGGCCGGAGGGGCCGCGCCCGACGCCCCGAGCCCTTCTAGGGATTGGCGTGTGCGGCGTGCGTGCGTGTGCGGCGTGCATGTGCGCGCCGTGTACCGTGCGTGCGCCGTGCGAGCGCGGGCCTGTACGTGTGCACGCTGTGCGTGCGCGCCTGTACGTGGGCACGCTGTACGTGGGCGCACTGTGCGTGTCAGTACGTGGGCGCGCTGTGCGTGCGCGCTATGCGTGCGCGTGCTGCGCGTGTGCACTGTGAGCGTGCACGCGCGTGTCCGCACACCCACGTCTGCCGGGTGCACGCGCGCGTCAAACACGCACCTGCTCGGCAGAGCCGCGCGGGGGGCTCGCGCCCGCCTCAGGGTCTCGGCGGGGCCCTGGCGCCCCCGCGGAATCGGGCCGCGAACGAGACCTGCGCGCGCGCCGCGAGCCCGTCCCGGCCGCCCCTCAGGCGCCCCAGGCCCCGCGGCCGCGCCCCGAGCGCGCCCACTCAGGGGCCGCCGGCGGCTTCCGCGCCTCGGGCCGGCGAGGGGCGCCCGGCAGCCCCCGGGGGGCCGGCCCCACATCGCGCCTCCGCCGGCCGAGGGCAGGGCGACCTCGCGGAGCCGCCAACGCCGCCGGGCCGCGCCTCGGGAGCCAGCGCGCGACGGCAGGGCCCGCGGCGGTCCCGGCGCCGACCAGGGGCGCCCTCCGGCCCCTCACGCCCGCGCGCGGCTCGTCCCCGCGGGCCCGTCGGGAGGGCGCCGAAGGCCGCGGCCGCCTCGCAGCGCCCGGAGCTCGCGGCCGGGGCGAACCGGCCGCCGCGCTCGCAACGCGACGCCACCACCGCCCGCCCGCCCGCGGCGACCCCCGCAGGCCGCGCGCACCCGCCTTACCGCGCGCCGCTCCGGCCCGGACGCCGCTGCGACGCGGGGAGCGCGGGCCCCACGGCCGCCCAGGGCCGCGCCCGCCCGCGGTCTGAGGAGAGGCGGCCGGCGACGCCGCTGGACGCGCACCTGACGCGCACCTGACGCGCCCGCCCCGCCCCGCCCCGCCCACGAGCCTCGCGGGGCCACGCCCCACTCAAGACGCGGCCTCCCGCGCACCCAGGGGCGGCCACACACGCCCGCACCCGCCTCGCGCCTGGCCCTGGCGCTGCGACCTCGCCCGCCCGCCCGCCCGCCGGCCTCGCGCCCGAGCTTCCCACCCCACCCGCTCCGCGGCAGGCCCCGCCCCGCCCCGCAGGCCCCGCCCACCCGCCCCGCAGGCCCCGCCCCGCCCGCAGGCCCCGCCCCACCCCCGCCCAGCAGGCCCCGCCCGCCCACCCAGCAGGCCCCGCCCCGCCCGCAGGCCCCGCCCCCCGCCGTGCCGGCCCCGCCCTCTCAGGGCGCTCCCGTTGCCCGCCCCGCGCCCACTTCGGGAGCTGCCCCGAGTCCTGCCCCGTCTCCGCGCTCCCACTCCGTGCGGCGTGGGCGCTCCCTCCCCCGCGCCCCGCGCAGCCCCAGCCCTCGCCCTCTACACGCCCCGCTCCCCGGAACCGACGGTCCCGCAGGCCCCGCCCTTGCCCCGTGGCCCCGCCCCCGCCCGCTCTAGGCCCCGCCCCGCAGGCCCTCCACCTGGCCCCGGGGCCCCGCCCCGCAGGCCCTCCACCTGGCCCCGTGGCCCCGCCCCGCAGGCCCTCCACCTGGCCCGGGGCCCCGCCCCGGCCGCTCCAGGCCCGCGCCCTGCCGGCCGGCGCAGAGGCTGCGGATGGAGCGCGAGGCGCGGGTGCTGCGCTCGGCGGGCGGCTTCGGCCGGGCCCGGCGCCTGCTGGCCGCCGCCTCGTGGCTGCCGTGCGTGGCGCTGGGGCTGGCGCTGGGCTCCGAGCCGCTGCTCACCGCGCTGCCCGCGCACCACTGCCGGCCGGACCCCGCGCGCCTGCCCCCGCGCCCCGCGCCCCGCGCGCCCCCGAGCCCCTGCCGGCTCCCGCGCTACCCCGAGCCCGGGCCCCGCGCCCGCCCCAACGGCACGCGGCCCTGCGCGCACGGCTGGCACTTCGCCCTGCCCGCCGCCGGCCTGCGCAGCAGCCCGGTCACCCAGGTGCGCCGCCGGGCCGGGCGGGCCGGGCCGGGCCGGGCCGGGCGGGGGGGGGTCCCCGCGGGAGGAGGCCACCGGACCGCGGCCTGGCCTGCCCTTGGGCTGTGGGGCTCTCGCCTGGGCCTTCGCCCTCCTGGCCGGCGGGCAGCCGGGGCCCACGCCGGCAGGTGCCAGGCCAGCGCTGGTGAGGTAGGTGGGGCGCCAGGGAGGAGGATTCGGCCGACGGGTGAGCGCAGCCTGGAGTTTCCTTCGTACCCAGAGCACTTTGAGCAACCTGGGCCTGGGGCCATAGGGTGGCAAAGCTGGGGGCGCTGAATCAAGGCGTGAGCCGGTCAGTTCAGTTTCCGGAAGGGCAATCCCTGCCCTGGGCCGGGGCGCCAGCTGGACTAGAGGTGTCTGGGGGGGCACTTGGCCGTCTGGGGGGGAAGAGGGGGCTGCTGGCACTTCCCTGACCCTATTTCTTTGTCCCCACCCTCGGAACCCCACCATTCCTGCCTCCCTCTTGGCTGCCTCTGCCAGCACCCCCGCCCCCCTGCACCCCTGCCTGCCCTGCCAGGTGTGTGGAAACAGCGGCCTTGCCACATCCCTGCGGGTGCCTCCCTGCCCCCCTCCCTGCCCCCTTCCCTGCCCTGTGCTGTGGGCCCGGCATCCTTCACAAGGGCTCGGCCCGGAAGCAGAGCCCTGCTGCAGCACGCTCCCCAAGTGGGCGGCAAGCTGGGGCGCAGGAGCCGCCGGGAAGGGCACGCTGCTGGGGTCAAGGGCCCTTGGCAGGAAAGCGGGCAAGCAGGGCCCTCCAGCTGTTCCCGGAGTCACTCTTGAAGGGGGTAGGGCGGGCACACAGGAGGCCAGCTTGGGCCCCAGCCAGGGAGCGGAGGGTGAGGCCCATCTGGAAGAAAGCAGGCAGGGCCCCCACACTCTTGGCCAGACTGGGGCTCCGTCAGGAACGCGCCAGTTCCCGCTGAGGGGCCTCGAGCCAGCCTCACCCTCCTGTGCCTTAGTCGCACCTTCTCTCCAGAGGCGCAGGAGCAGGACATCTGGGCCCCCTCAAGCCTGGGGACCCCTAGCATGTCTAGGCCCCCAGCCCCAGCTGGCCAGGGGTCCCCTCAGCAGACACTCATGTCCCTGCAGTGGAACCTGGTGTGTGAGGACGCGTGGAAGGTGCCCCTGGAGCAGACAAGCCACCTCCTGGGCTGGCTGCTGGGCTGCGTGGTCCTAGGCGCCGCCTGTGACCGGTGAGACACCCCCCAGTCCCTCGGGGGGCGCCCTCAGGCTGTCCTGACTGCATCCATGCGTCCCCGCTCCTGCCAGGTTTGGCCGCCGGGCTGTGTTTGTGCTGTCCCTGGTGCTGGCCACGGGCCTGGGGGCCAGCGAGGCCCTGGCTGCCAGCTTCCCTGCCCTGGTGGCCCTGCGGCTGCTGCACGCAGGGGTCCTGGCAGGCGTCTTCCTCACCCTTTACGTGGCTCGTGAGTACCATGGGGACCCCAGGGACTGGCCCCCCAGCACCCTTGGGGGACTTTCTGCTTGGAAGGTGGAGATGCACTGCTGTGGGCGCTGCTGCATGGGCAGGGAGGGTCTGGGGGTGGTGCCGACCTCACACTGGCCTCAGAAATGCCATCCCTGGACCATGGCTGGACCCCCATCAGCCTGGACAGTCCCCCACCCTGGGCCTCGGCCTCAGGCCCCGTGTGCCTTCCCAGGCCTGGAGCTGTGCGACCCCCCGCACCGCCTGGCCTTCTCCGCGGGTGCCGGGCTCTTCCTGGTGGCAGGCAGGCTGCTGCTGCCCGGCCTAGCACTGCTGGCCCAGGACTGGCGCCTCCTGCAGGGTCTGGGTGCCCTGGCGACAGGACTCCTGCTGCCCTTTTGGGGGTAAGTGTGGCGGGGGCCTGGACAACGCCGGCAGGGCCGGCACATGGTCTGGGACAGGTCCAGGGAGGGAGCCTTGGCCACGGCCACTGGGTCCTGCTCCAAATTCTGCCCCTGCAGGTTCCCGACACTGTTCCCCGAGTCTCCGTGCTGGCTGCTGGCCACGGGGCAGCTGGCGCGAGCCAGGAAGGTGCTGTGGCGCTTTGCGGAAGCCAGCGGCGTGGACCCCGAGGACAGCTCGGAGGAGGAGCGCTCTCTGGCCACTGGTAACCACCCCAGCCCGCGAGAGGGGCGGGCAGGGGCCGGAGGCCGGAGGGCCCCCCTCACCCCTCGTGTCCCTGGGCCGCAGAGCTGGGCGTGCTGTCTGCAGGGAGCCCCCCGCCCCACCACCACTCCATCCTGGACCTCCGGCACACGCGCGTCGCCTGGAGGAACGGACTCATCCTGGGCTTCAGTTCGTGAGGAGGGTCAGGGTTAGGGTGGGGGTGGGCAGGGCCCTCCGCCCGGTGGTGGCTGGTCGCCGGAGACCCTGCGTGTCGCTGGCCTCAGCCTCGCCCTCCCTCCCAGGCTGATCGGCGGGGGCCTTGCTGCCAGCTTCCTGCGGGGCCTGGCCCCGAGAGAGGCCTTCTACCTGCCCTACTTCCTGGCCGCCGGCCTGGAGGCCGTGGCCACAGTCCTGCTGCTCCTGACGGCGGACCGCTGGGGGCGCCGCCCGGTCCTGCTGCTGGGCACTTTGGTCACAGGCCTGGCGTCCCTGCTGCTCCTCGCCGGCACCCAGTGTGAGCCTGGGGTCCTGGGCAGGGTCTGCTCCCCGAAGGGCTTTGGGGCCAGCACCCGCCAGGGACACCTGGGCGGGCACAGGACACGGGTCCGCCTCTGTGCACTGAGGGAAGTCGGGGCCCATGGAGTTAAAAGGCCAAAGGGTTCGCGCGAGAAGGGGCTGGGCGCAAGGGCCGGGTGTGCACAGAGCTTGACACCTGACCCCGAGCCCCGAGCAGGCGTGGGGCGAAAGGCTGGGACGCCAGCCCGGCGAGGGGGCGGTCTTGGCGGCGCGCCTGGAGCACGGTCTGGCGGCACGTTCCTCTGCGAGGCAGGGAGTGGGCTGGGCTGGGGCGGGGGTGGGCACAGCTGCAGGGGCGAGGCCTCTCCAGCACGCCTGGTGGGGTGTGGGGAACCCGGACAGGGCATTTCGGGACGGTGCCCTGGGAGGGAGGAAGCACCCCGTCCTGAACAGCCCTGGAGCCCCCCTCCTTGTCCCCAGACCTGCCTGGCTGGGCCGCGCGGACGCTCTCTGTGCTGGGGCTGCTGGGCTCCCAGGCCGTGTCTTCCCTCAGCAGCCTGTTTGCAGCCGAGGTCCTGCCCACAGTGACCAGGTGAGCCGGGGTCCCCACCACCCCGAGGCCCCCCCATCAGGCTGTCCCTCGCCCCTTCTGGACGGCCCGCCTCGTGGCCCAGCAGCTCGGGAGCCCGGGAAGGGGAGCGGCGAGACTTCTGGAGGGGGGTTCCAGGGGACGCCCCGATGGGAGCCAGAGTTGTCCCAGGGTGGGGGCAGCTTCCCTTGTGGGGTCCGGCTGAGCTCTCCTGCCCTGGCCTTACCCCTTCTGAGCGGGGCAGCCCCGTCTCGCAGCCTCTGCCTGGGGCCGCCGCCCCACAGCCGCCCCCCCGTGCTGTCCCGCAGGGGCGCCGGGCTGGGCCTCGTGCTGGGGGCCGGGTTCCTGGGCCAGGCGGCCGCCCCCCTCGCCGACCTGCCGGGCCGGCGCGGCTTCTTCCTGCAACAAGTGGTCTTCTCCTCCTTCGCCATCCTCGCGCTGCTGTGCGTCCTGCTGCTGCCGGAGACCCGCGGCCGCCAGCTGCCCGCAGCGCTGCAGGACGCCGACCGCCTGCGCCGCTCCCCGCTGCTGCGGGGCCGCCGCCCCCAGGACCACCTGCCGCTGCTGCCGGCCACCCTGCCCCGGGCCGGCGCGCCCCCCTGCAGCACTGCCCCGGCCTGGACGTCCCCCGAGAGCCGGGACCCGGCCGGCCCGGCGGTGGAGACCCCACCGGGCAGCCCGCGCCCCCTCAGGGGACCCCATGGTGCCCAGGACGCGGGGAGGCGTGGGGGCCTGTGAAGGGGCACCCCCAGCGTGTAGGGTGACGGAAGATAAAGATCCGTGGGACTGGCCCTCTCGTGCATTCTTCCCTCTCGCGCGGATGACAAGGCTTTTGGGGCCCCCTCGGGCCCCGCCCACAGCCACCCCACACCGTTCGCCGTGGCAGGTGGAGATGAAAACGCTTTAATGGGCCTGGGCCGTTCCCGCGTCCAGAGGGGAGCCTGCCGGGGGACCGGGGCTGGGGGCGCGGGGAGCTCCCCAGGCCCGCCCTCTGGTTGCTCTGTGAGGGTCGCGGGTGGCCTGGCCGCCTGGCAGAGACCAGCTTGTCCAGGGGGCCTGGAGAGGCTGCCCGGCCGCTGTGACCGCTGTGCTCGCAGCAGGGAGGTGGGATGCCCGGCGAAAGCACCTCCCCGGCCGCCCCACTTGGCTCATGGGGAGCCATACAAGTCTGCCAGGCGCGTGAAGCGGGGGCCCCAATCCCGGAGGCAGCTGTAGTCCTGGTCCTCGTCCCCCAGGCTGGACAAGATGGAGCTCAGCGTCCCCGCCAGAGAGCCGTCCCCCTCATAGTCGTAGATAAGAGCCGTGTCATAAGGGGGGACGCTGGGGTCGCTGTCCACGGCCTCCAAGCCCTGTGGAGAGGCGCGGGCACTCAGGGCGCTGCGGGCGGGCGCCAGTCCCCAGCAAGGGGAGGCCCGTGGCCGCGCAGGGATCTGAGAGTCCTCGGGGCAGCCTCCACCCATCGGGGTGGGAGCCCCTGGCCCAGGGGCGGGCGAAGAGAACAGGCGCCCCTGCCCTGCGTGCATGCGGCCGGCCAGCCCCTCCCCAGCCCGGTCCTGATGGGTCGAAGCGGGTGGTGCCCGCGGTCTCCTGACCACCTGCGGCCACCGGTTCTGCGGCTCCCTCGCCCGCCCCATCGCCATCCTGGCAGGGCGCCGGCGAAGGGCTCCCGAGCTCAGTGTGGTGCGCGCCCGCAGCTCCACTTTCCCGCCACCCCCACTCCTGGCACCCGCCTTGCTGATGAAGTCGGCAATGTCGGCCGGGCCGGTGGGCAGCACGCGTGGGGGCTGGGGGCGCACGTGGCCGTACGGGGCATCACGGCGCAGGGGTGGCCGTCCCAGCCGGACACTCGGAACCGGCAGCCCCGTCGGGTGGCGCAGCTGGTCGATGTCGTAGGCCTCCTGCGGGTCAGGCGCGGAGTTACATCCACGGGAGGCGGGGGAAGCGGCGCCCCCATCACGCACCTGCCTGGGGTGGCCACGGGGCTCCCGGGTGGGGCCGCGAGGAGGCTGCCTGGCAGCTGGGCGGCCCCTGCAGGCCCTTCCCATGCTCAGCAGGCCAGCGCGCCCCTCACCTGGTCCTCCTCGCCGCCCCCCTGCTCGTCATAGTTGAGGATGTTGTCCCGGAGGTCGTCCTGCAGCCCTCGCAGAAGCCCCTTGTCCCACGACCGCTGCCGGGACCGCGCCAGGAGGGCCACGAGCAGCGCGAGCACTGGGCGGGCGGCGGGAGGTTGGTGCCGGCCGGGGGCGCGGGGCGGGGGGGGGGGGCGGGGGCGGGGCGCGCGGGGAGGTCAGGGAGCAGCCGTGGAGGGTGGGCGTGCGGGGTGGGGGCCGCGGGGCGGGGTGTGTCCCGGAGGGCACTCACGGAGCAGCAGGATGACGCTGGCCAGCATGATGACCAGGGCGCCCAGGCTGATGCCCGCGGCCCCTGTGCGCAGCGCGGCAGCCCCGGGCAGGCAGACGCCGTCCTGGCCGCAGCGGCACACGGTCACGTTCAGGGGCTGCTCGCGCTGCTGGGGCGGCTGCCCCGAGTCCCGGAGCAGCAAGCTGAGACGGTGCAGACCCTCCTGGAGTGGGTGCCGCAGGCGCAGGCGAGCATGGCTCACTGCAGGGCGCGCCAGTCAGCAGGGCCCGAGCTGCCCACCGCACAGCCAGCCATGAGGGGCCTGCTCTGGGCAGGTGGTGGCACGCCCGGGGGCGCCTGTGGTGTCCAGTGGCACCCCACCCCAGTTCCCGGCTCTGGATTTGGGGTTTTAGGGGCACTCACCGTTAATCTGGCTGAGGCTCCAGTTCTGGGCCAGCGCTGGGACCCTGGGGTTCAGCTGGAAGTGGAAGGGGGCCCCGTGGGGGGGCAGGTCCGCATCCGTGGCTGCCAGGAGGAGGCCGGGCCCAGGCCGGGCCCGCTACACAGGCTGCCGGACGGCGTGGCCAGCTCAGGGGCATGGTCGTTCACCTCCAGGATCTCGATGGACAGGGTCCCCGTGGCAGTGCAGGGCGGGGAGGCTGCGGGCGGGAAAGGCGGGTGGGCATCTCGGGCCCTGGAGCCCGTGTCCTGCGCCCGGGCACACCCTCCGGCCGGCCAGGGGCTGAGGGCCGGCGCGAGTCCTGAGCTCACCATCGTCGCGCGCCAGGACGATGGCCCTGTACCAGCCGTCCTTGAGGAACGGAGACTCGCGGCTTAGCACCCGCTGGGTCTGGACCCAGCCCGTGGCTGAGTCCACCTGCAGCCAGTCCTCGGGGTCGTAGTCTTTGGAGTAGCTGTGGGTGGAGGAGGGTCAGGGCGTCCTGAGCCTCCCCGGAGGTGTGGTCACGCGCAGACACCCCCAAGCACACGCAGCCACATACTCCCGTCTCAGATGGACACCCCGATGGCACGAGACACACAGGAAAGCATGACCCCCCACCCCCCCACAGCACACCGTACACCCCAGACACAGCACACGCGCACACAACACACCGCAGGACACACTCGACGAGTGTCAGCTCTGGTCTGTGTCGGTCCTGCCAGTGGACAAAGACAGTCCAGGGCAGGCGAGTGACATCCAGGACTTGACACATGCGCCCTGGGCACGCATCCCCGGGGCCTGGGGCAAGGAACGGGCAACCCAGGACAGGAGGACAGGCCTGCCACGGTGGGCACGGCCCGACACGCCCAGGCAGCGGGTGCCTGTGACCCCGGGGCCCTGACCCCACCTGAGCCTCTGCAGCTGCTGTGTATCTGGGTCTCGGGCCAAGAAGGCGACTACAGGGGTTCCCGGGGTCGCCCCCTCAGCCAGGCTGGTCCGCAGCGGGTTCTCCAGAAACACGGGGGGTTCGTTCACGTCCTGCACCGCCACGCTGACCCTGACCTGGCCCCGCTCGGCCCGGGCGGCAGCCGCCTGCAGGGGGGCCTCATTCTGCACCACCACGGTGAGGTGGTACTGCTCACGACCCTCGTAGTCCAGGGGCTGGGGGGACAGGCGAGTGCTCGGGGGCCTGGAGGCGGCTCTGGGCTGAGACGCACCCGCAGGTCTGCCCCCAGAGCCTCGGTCCCATTTAGCCCCAGGAGGACAGAAGCCCCGTGGCCACCGGGACCTAGCTTGCGGGGGTGGCCAGGGAGCCTTCCGGGAGACGTGGCGATGAGCTCTCCAGAGAGGAGACGGGTGGGCAGCCCCCGAGGGTCCCACAGAGCAGGACTGAGCCATCCCCAAGGCACCTCATGCTTGAAGCCCACAGCCCCTGCACAGGCCCGTGCCCCTCAAATCTCCGCCGCCGCGCAGTGGGCCTGGACGCGCAACCCCCGCCGCCCCCCGCCCATGTAGCCCACGGCCGCCGCGGCAGGACAGTGACCTCAGCCGGCTTGGGAGGCGCCCGCTGTGGCCCCTCTTCCCAGCGGCTGGAGTGGCCTGACCTGTCGTCCAGTCTTCCTGGCCCCGCCCCCCCGCGCTCTCCCAAGCATGCGGGAGGGTCCGACAGGCCCGGGGCGCCCCCAGCCCAGCAGCAGTGGGGCCAGCCCGCTCCCACCTTCACTATGGACAGCACCGCCTCGTTGGTCTTGGGGTCCGTGCGGACCGCGAAGTGCCCATCTGGGTCGCCCTCCACGATGGCGAACCTGGCTGCCCAGTTGGGGGAGCCCGGCAGGTCCCTGTCCTCCACCTCGAGCCTGCCCACGTCCACGCCGCTCACCGCCTCTGTGACCTGCAGAGAGACCTGGGGGCCCCACAGGTTACCCTCGAGGGTCTTGGGGCCTGCGGCCCAGCTGCTTGGTGTCCTCTGGCATCACCGTCTCAGGCTCTGCTCCCAGGGCCCCGCGAGCCCCTCCCCAGGGGCTGGGCGACACACCGAGGCCCGCACAGACCCTGCCCCCCTGCCCCCCTCTCCCCCGCAGCACCTCGTCCCTGGTGAAGGTCGGGGCGTTGTCGTTAATGTCGTCCAGGGAGATGAGGGCGGAGGCGGTGGCCGTGAGGCCGTCTCCGGACATGTCGGCCACCTGCAGGGTCAGGTTGTACACGGCGACCACCTGGGGCAGGGAGACGGGCAGCCGTGGGGCCAGTGGCCTATGCTCTGGGTCCCCAATGGCGCCAGCTTGAGGGCCTCGGTAGGGAGAGGTGGCACCTGAGCCCCTCGGCAAACGGGCCCCGCAGCGCCCCCAACAGGCCGCACCGAGCCGGAGGCTGAGCCCGCTGAGCTGCGTTCCTGCAAGGAGCGGGGCTCAGCTGGTCAGCCGGTGGTGGGGGATCCGAGGAGGGCTTCCTGGAGGTGCCAGCCCACACGACAGCCAGGCTGCAGGGCTGCGGGCCCAGCGCTGAGAGTGGGAGTGGGGAGGAGCCCTGGCGGGCCTGCCTCGGCCTGGAGCGGCCCTGAGGGCTCCCTGTGGGTTTCCGTTCCGCCAGGCCCCTGGGTGGGCGCAGTGGTCTGAGCCCTCGCCGAGGCGGGGGAGCGCGCGGCGGGGAGGGGCAGGCGGGGCGCACCTCGCGGTCCAGGCCCACTTGCACAGTGCGGATCTCGCCCGAGTGCTCGTCGATGCTGAAGAGTTGGGGGCCGCCCTGCTCCAGGATGGAGTACCGTAGGGCCGCGTTGTCCGTCTCGGGGTCGTCGGCGTCCGTGGCCTCGGCCCTGGTCACGTAGGTGCCTGGGAGGGATGTGTGGGGGTGAGGCCCACAGCGCCCACCCTTAACCTTGCCACAGGCCCCCACGAGGCCTGTGCAACCCCCAACATCCAAGCCTTCTGCCCGGACTGTGTGGGTAAGAAGCAGGAGAGCCTGGTCCAGCCAGAGCTGACCCACTGTCTCCAGCAGGGCCGGGAGCACAAGTCAGGCTGGGCCAGCGGCTGGGGAGACCGGGGCTGGCCCACACCGCCCGCGCAGAGGGCGCCCTGGCAAGCCCACAGAGAAGTGCCAGGAGGCTGCCGCCGGGGCCACATCTGCGTGTGCCAGGGGCCGAGAGCTCGGGGGCGTGGCAGGGTAAACCAGAGAGGTGGGGGGGCTTGGGGCCACTGGGAGCAGCTCCGAGCAGTGGGGATTCTCTGGGGGCTCCTTGGCGCTGGGGCCTCCCCACCCGCCTGGAATGGGCAGGGCCCGCCCCAGAGCCCTGCTGGTTTTGGGGGAAGGTGGTGAGTCCAGCCTGTGTCATTCTTAGGGCCTGTGAGAGGTGGGCAGCTACGCCCAGGCAACTCTGGCCAGCAGGGCCCCCCGGCGCAAGCCGAAAGGTGCTTTCAGGTGAGAGTCGGGGGTGGGTCTGCAGCGGGAGCCGTGCCCTGGGGGTAGGCTGCCACACAGAGGGCCCAGGGGGTGCTCGGAGTAGGTGGAGATGTTAGCAACTCTTGTGACTTGTGGTGGGGACATGCGTGTAAAGCCCGGTGTGGACGGGCGCATGCAGGCCCACGCCTGTGTGCCCAGCTCTCCCCTGCTGTCTGCTGCGACCTGGACGCTGGTCCCGTCTGTGACATGTGCGTGGACGTGAATGGATGCGGCAGCTATGAAGAGCCACAGCCGACGGCCTGACCCGCTGGCCCCACTGGCCACACTCGCTTGTGGGGCCGGCTGACCATCGTGGGGCCGGCCAGCAGGCCACCCAGGCCAGGTGCCTGCGAGCACTGGACTGGGCTCACCCTGTGGCCCGCAGGCCCGGCAGACGCCCCTGAAACGCCCACTCCCCAGAGGGCAGAGCCCGAGTGCAGCACCCAGGCGTGGGGTGGGCGCCCCGACCGCTCCCCCGGCGTCTCATGACCGAGGAAGCCCCAAGCTACAGTGACCGAGGCAGTGCGGTCTTGGCGTGGAGACCCGCCGGCCAGTGGGCCAGAACCGGGAGCCCAGGGACCGGCTGGGGCGGCGGCCAGCCTCGGGGGACCTGCCCCGCCCCTGCCCCGCCCTGCCCCACCCGGCCCCTGGCCCTGCCCCTCACCCCGGCCCACCCCTGCCCTGCCCCCGCCCCAGCCCTGCACCTCACCCGGGGCGGCGCCCTCCAGCACGCGGCCGGTGAACACCTGCTGCCGGAAGACGGGCCGGTTGTCGTTCTGGTCCACGACCACGATCTCCAGGTCCGTGGGCTCCTCCAGGGCGGACCCTCCCAGGTCCAGGGCGAAGGCCCGGAGCTGTCAAGCGAGCGTGGGCTGGCAGCGTGGACCCCGCTCTCGGCCCCGGCCCACGCTGCCAGGGCACAGGCGCAGCCCGCTGGCCGCGGCAGGTGGGCGGCGTGAGGCAGACGTGGCTCTGCCGGCGCGGGGCTGCTTTCCTGCAGCGGGGGAACTACAGCCGAGCTTCCCCTCTTGCCTCGGCCCCCAGGGTGCGCGCACGGCGCCGCGGGGGCCGCGGGGGCGGGAAACGTGCTCACTAGCCGCCCTCTCCTCCCCTTCTCTACAGCGGCGGCGCCTCTTGAGGGTTCATCCTTCTGTGCAGGTAAAACTTTAAATTAAGTTGCCTCCTGCTCCTTTGGAGAAGGGACAGGATATAATTTCCCGGTGAAAACACGCTCTCTGGCGTCTTTCTGTCGTCAGAAACCGAGGTGGAGGGCGACGGCCGGCGGAGGCACGTTAAATCGGGCCTCTGCCGAGCTGGGAGGGCACCCCCGGGAGGGCGGGGCGCTCCTCCTTGGTCCAGACCTGCCTGGCTCTCAGCCCCACCCTGCAACCCACCAGTGCCCTGGCTTCCCTGTGGCCCTGCCCCTGCCCGCAAGGCCGGGCCGGTGTGCGAGGGGCTGTGGGAGCAGCTCCGGCACTGCTGGCTGGCGGGGGCTGCCGGGGAAAGCGGCCGCGGGCCGCCAGGTCCTCCCTGCCAGGCCCAATCCTGCCTCCGGGGGCCTCGGCTCTGCCCGCTGAACAGGAACCCCGGCTTCCCAGCTCCAGGTCCTCAGCCCCAGGGCGGATCCTGCCGGGGGAGCCTGGGACGAGGCCTGCTCCCGCCGGCCGGGGCTCACCCTGAAGCGGTCGGTCTGCTCCCGGTCCAGCGCGGCGTTGAGGAAGACCTTCCCCGAGACCTTGTCGATAGAGAACACGCCCCGCGGGTCCTCGTCCACGCCGGGCCCCTGGATGCTGTAGATCACGCTGCCCAGGGGCTGCTTGTCGGACTTGATCTGCGGGCAGCGCGCGGGGCTGGACGCGGGCCGGCAGCCGGCCGCTGTGGCCCCAGGTGCTCCCGCCCCACCACGCGCCGCGCAGCCCCGCGCCGGCCTCACCTGCACCAGGGGGTACGGCAGCCGCTTGTGGTTCTCAGACACGCTGATGGGGGGGATGACCCAGGCCCTCCGCACGCGGCCCGGCACGGGCGCCCGGCGCCAGGGGTACAGGGTGCTGGGCCTCCTCAGCCCAGGGACCCCCGCACACGGACCCAGGCTCTGCAACACAGCAGGCCCGCTCCCGTGGGCGGGGGCAGTGCCCACAGCCCCAGGCCGGCATGGCCTCCTGCCCTTGCCCGCGCACCGGGGGCTCCCCCCAGCCCGTGACTGGCTGGGGGGCTCAGGAGGAGGGTGCTCTTGCTCCTGGAACCAGGGGGGGCGGCAGGCGCAGGGCTAAGCTGCTGGAACAACAGCTGGGCCCTCCCCGGGGCCTTCTGTGGGGAGGGAGTGGATGGCAGGCGGGGGTCAGGCATGCGAGGAAGGGCTTGGAGGCCCCCACAGTGGCCCCACTGGCTGGGAGCACCCCCAGGTCTGGGCGGGCAGCAGTGGAAGGCCCGAGCCCACTGGCTGCCTGGGCAGAAGCTGCCTGCGTTACCCGCCCCCACCCAGGGCACTGGCTCTGGCCCGCTGCACAAGGTTTGGGGTCCTCACACGCCCCAGCTCACCAGGGGGGCTGACATGGTGCCGGCACTGGGGGCAAGGCTACTGGGCTGGACAGCAACCTCCTGCGTCCAGCCCCCCCCCGCCCCCTCACGGTGCACTGGCAGACCCTGCGGGGGCGCCCACCCAGCCACCCATCCGTGTGGAAGGCTCCCTCCTCACAGAGGCGGGCCAAGGCCACCTCCCCGCCCCGGCTGCCTCCACCTCGACCCCCGAGCCCCCACGGCCTGTCCCCGGACAGGGCACTGGACGGCCTCCTCCTCTGGCTCCCCGCAGCCTTTGGGATGGGCAGGCTGGCAGCCTCTGGAGGGGTGCGGGGCTGGTGAGTCAGGGGTGCTTTGGGGAGCCTGGCGGGAGGCTGCTGCCTGCTGGCTCTGCCTTCCTGTGCTCCGGCCCCCGGTCTGCGGCACACAGGGGTCCTCATTTTGTGGACAGAACAGCAGCCGTTTCTGTGCCCCTGAGGCGGACTTCCGCCGCCCTCCCTCTCCCGGGGTCGGCCCCGCCCGCCCGCCCACCGGAGTCCTGGTGGCAGCAGCCCCTCTCACAGAAAGGAGGGGCTTCCCTGCCCCTTCCTGACAGCCTGACAGATGGCAGCGCCCGCTGGGCCGCCAGCCACTTCCAGGCGAGGCTGTGCTCGGGCAAGCAAGGGACCAGGACCGGCCGGGCGGAGAGTGCCCCACGCCCCCTTCCGCTGGCCCAGGCATGCCAACCTCCCCCCACCACTTCCCTCCGTCCCTGGCGGCCCAGAGAGGCTGAGACACTGGCTCGAGGCCACGCGGCCATTGGGCAGCAGAGCTGTTGGCTGGGCCGGGGGCAGGACCTGGTCCGCAGGCTCTTGGGAGGCCGCGCCCGCGCCCAAGAACGCCCCGAGTCTGCCTGTGACCCCTGGCGGCCTCTCGGCCTGCGGGCAGCCTGGCGAGGCCCTGGCAGAGCCCCGGCCCCTTCGTGAGATCAGCCCAGCCCCAGCGCCCAGATCAGAGGCTGCGCCGAGGGGCCAGGCTGCTGGTCCCCGGGCCGTGCCGGCGTGCTCCACCGCCCTTCCGGGGATGGCTGCGGGGGAAGGCTGGGAGCAGCGGGCACCTCGCGACCAGGGGTGCCCGACCTCCCCAAGCGGGTGTCTGGGACACCCCCACAGTTGTCCTGGGCCGTGCGTGCCCTGACCAAGGACCCGAGAGGACAGCCCGGAAGCTCTCGAGACACTCGGCCATGGGCCCCCACTGGGTCTGCACCAGCCCCAGCCCCCTGCAAAGGGAGCCCCGAAGACCTGGCTGCTGGGCGGGCCAGACCCTCCCGCCGCCACATTTCCTCCTGGATGCTGCCCTGGCCTCAGGGGCAGGGAGTGTAACGGGGGGTCCCCAGGGAAAATGGGGGGCTCTGGGCCCCCGGCCCCACCCGAGGGGGTGGAGCCGAGCAGGGAGGAGAGGCCGGAGAGGAGGCTGGAGAAGGGAGCAGGAGGACGGGGAGCCGGGAGGAGGCCGGAGGCGGCGCGTGGCGAGAGAGACACGTGAAGACGCGCGCGGGCTTCTCGGCCTCGGCCCGGGACGCGGGGACGTGGAAGGAGACACCTGACACAGACGCGGGTGAGAGCCCCGCGGGGGCGGACGGCGGCCGCCGGGACCTCGGGGCTGACGCGGCTCCTTCCGCCCCAGCCCCGCCCGGCCCCTCTGCCCCTTCCCGTGGGCCCCGCCAGCAGGGCCTCAGACGGGCAGCTCCGGGCCCCGCGGCCCTGCCCTGGGCCGCCCCGTCGGGCTGGGCCTGCACCGCGCGGGGACGGCTGGCTTGGGGGGCCAGCCGGATTTCCCCTTCTCTCCCTTGCACGCTGCCGGCGCTCAACTCCCCGTCCGCGGACGGTCTCACGCACCAGCGTGTTTTGTCTTGATGGGGCGGACGGCAAAAGCTATTTAGAGCAGGCAGGTTTGGGGGTTCTGGGGGCCCCCCTGCCCTGTAACAGGTTCATCACAGGAGGCGAGGCCCCTCCCTGGCTGACCCCCAGCACCCCCAGGAGGGCCAGGACTCAACAACGCAGGGGACCGGGCTTCTCAATCAGCTAATTCCCAGGACCCCTGAGGAGTTAAAGGGAATCCCCGAGTCTGCCCGCCCCCCCCAGTGAGAGCGCAGCGCAGCCCGGAGCCCTGGCGCCTCACCACGGGCCTCCGGGCGAGTCACGGGGCGCTCGGGAAAAGGCGTGAAAGGCCGGGGCTGCTGCATGCAGGGACCCTCCCCGCTCTACCTGCGGCCCCGCGGCTCTAGACAGCCCTCGCGGGTCACGCCAGCCGCCCAGGGCCAGCCCGGCCCCTGCTCAGAAATCATGGAGACAAAGGGGGCTCTGCCTGGTGACCTGGGGCGCCCCGCGAGCCCAGGCAGGCTGAGAGGCAGGCTCCCGGGGGCCAGGGCAGGGAGCGGGGCCGCAGGTCGCCCCATGCAGCAAACCTGGGACGCGGACGCAGCTGCGGCTTCGGGCAGGTCACAGGCCACCCAGCGCGGAGACCGGGTGTGTGGCCGTCACCCTGGCGAGGCAGGCCCAGGGCCCAGCCCAAGGCTGGGAGCCCGGTGGAACGCGGGCCGCGAGCTGGGCAAAGCCGGGGGCTCCCACAGGCTTCTCCGCCCTCAGCCCCTCCCCACCATGCCAGCCCCCACCCCACCCCGCTGGAATCCAAGCCACCCGTTCCTGGACGGCTCAGTCACGCCAGGAATGAGCCCAGCTGTCTGCCTGGCCCTGCGCCCCTCCCCCTGCGCCCCTCCTGCCCAGCCGCCCCGCGCCTCAGAGCAGCGGGAGCTGGGACCGGGGAGCGACTTCCTCCCCAGCCGGCCTGGGACACAGAACACGTCCTGCCTGTGGAGGGCAGTGGCCAGAGGTGGCCGCCTTCCCGGCCTGGGATGCCCACACCAACGCAGAGCAGATGGCGGGTGCCCTGCCGTGGGGCACCCGACCCGGGTCCCCACAGCCTGCCAAGCCCGAGAGTCCCAGAGGCCCAGGCTTCCCTCCAGAGACCACAAGGCCACGGAGCGGGCAGGCCTCCCCGTGCCCAGGCAGGCTCAGCGGCTGGGGATGCCCAGGGCACAGGCAGGGCTGGCAGGACCCGGCTCTGAGGGTCTCACCCCAGCCCAGGGGCCACAGCAAAGGAGGGATGAGCTCGGTCCAAGGCACCCAGAGGCCACCAACCAGCGCAGCCCCCTCCCTGGCCCTGATGGTGCTGCTGAGCCCTGCGGCCCACAGAGGTGGGGGTGCCCGGCAGGCAGTCGGGTACCCGAAGCCTGCACTTTGGCGGGACAGACATCTGCGGGGCAGCAGGCTGCAGGGAGGCCAGGGTCCTGACACAGTCCTGGTCCAGGGGGGAGCGAGGCCGAGCCACATAGCACAGGGCGGAGGCCAGGCCGGGGACAGACCCCACCCGCGCCTGAGCCCCACAGCCTCCAGCCAGGCCCCCGGGAAGGGCCTCAGGATTCAAGCTGGTGCTGACTCTCCCGACAGGGCCCCTGGGCCGGGGGCAGGCAGACGGCCACAGACCCTAAGGAGGCCCTGGCCCACTGGAGGGATGGACGGAGAAGTGGGGAGGAACACAAGGGCATGGAGTTCAGGGACCCATCCAACGTGTGCGGGCACAGGGCCGGGGGTCAGCCGGAGGGCCACTGCGATGGCTGCTGCCCTAGCAGAGGGCTGATGGGTGCGGCTGGGGGCAGCCATGCCAACCAGCTGGCCATGGAGGCGGTGGGGCCACTGAGGGGCAGCAGGAAGGCCCCGAGACGGGTAGAGCGAGCGGGCGCCAAGGGCTGGGGGCCCTGCAGGGCCAGCTGCTAGAGGGGCTGAAACCTGAGCCGATCAGCGGGGCTCTGCTGGGAAGGCCCGACTGCAGCTGCAACGGATGAGTGGACACAGGCCTGGCCCGGCCCCTGGCCTGGGACCCAGTTCAGCCTGCTTGTGCCCAGACAAGCCCTCACTCCCTGCCTGCCCTAGCCAGGGAACAGCGGCGCGGCCACCCAGGGCACCCACATGAGGGCAGCGGCCTCAGCCCCCTGCCACCCATCGGGCTGTGCTGGGGAGACCAGCAGGCCAAGGGGCTGGGAGCGAGTGTGGGGGTGCTGGGCCTGCTCCTGGGACACCGGGCTCTCCAGGGAGGGACCACGAGGTCCTGCAGGACATCAGAAGCTGCTGCCGCTGGCTGGGCCAGGGGGGCTTTGCCCAGGACTGAGGGTCACTGCCAAGCAGGCCTATGAACCCCTTGGGAAATGTGGCCTGGCTCCCCAGACTGGGGTACTCCTGCCCACGTCTCCCCGTTCCCCACGAGAGTGACAATGAGCACCCTCAGACCCAGCAGAGTTGAGGGGTGGGTGCACCCCGGAGAGAGCATGGCCCGCGAGGTTCTGCCGGTCCCCGGCTTGGCTCCCCGTCCTGTCTGGATGGTCACTGCCTCTGGCCCCACGAAGCCGGACAGCCCAGCGCCGTGGGCCAGCAGCCCTGCCCGGACGCACGCCGCCGCTTACCTGGGCCAGCAGCCCGACTGTGAGGAGGAGCATGGTGTCCATGGGCCACAGCACGGCAGCGTGGTCAGTGTCCGCTTCGGTGACCAGCGCGGCCCCTGAGTGATAGCACAAGTGCAGGGTCCGGCGGGAGACCGCACATGTGCGGGGGCGGGGCCAGGGCTGATGGACAGCACATGTGTGGGGTGGGGCCTGGGCTGATGGACAGCACACTGTGGGCGGGGCCAGGGTGATGGACAGCACACGCTTGGGGAGGGGGGGCCAGAGCTGATGGACAGCACTCGTGTGGGGCCTGGGCTGGCTGCCCGACAGCACTGTGGGGATTGCGGGTGGGACTGGGGACCGGTGGGGGCGCCGGTGCGGGGCTGGTGGGAGGCCAGGCGGGGGGTGAGCCCCCGGGGCCCACCGGCCCTTGGCTCCCGCCCCGCATGGCCCTGCCTGCTGTGCTGCTCCCAGCCGCGAGCCTGGCGCCTCCTCTGCACCTGCCGAAGGACATTTGGGCTCAGCTTGTTTCCTGTTGTGGGGTCCCTGCCTTGGGGCGAGCCCGCCCGGGCCAGCAGAGAGCACTGCCCCTCCTGGGGTGCAGAGCTGGCGGTCGAGGGCTGGGACTCCACACCCTGGCTGGGGGGCCTGGATCCTGCGCTTGGTCACCGCCTCTTGCACCCCGGCCACCCCAACTGTGAACCCCAGGGTGCAAGAGGCTGTGCCTTAATTCACCCCAGCAGTGCGGCGGGGCTGGGAGGACAAAGGGGTTCACCTATGGCATCTGCCCCCCCCGAGGAGGCACAGGAGAAGCTCCAGACCAGAGCCCGGCGCGGGAGGGCTGACCCCAGCCACTCTGGACCTCCGGGTCTGGCAGGGGCGCGGGCGGGCGATGGGGGAGCAGCCGCGCCACCAGGGAGAGGGGTGGAGGGCTCACCCACACGCCTCCTGGCGAGCCCCCCTCGGAGCCCCTCTCCGAGCCCCTCTGCCCGGTGGAGGCCTGAGGTTCCGCGGAGTCTCGCCCCAGCCTGCCCTGCCAGGCGTGAGCGCCCGGTGCGGGGGGCCAAGCCGCAGCCCCATGCAGGCCGGGCCCTTCGCCTCGCTCCACCCCCGGGCGCAGCGGAGCCCGCCCCCTCTGCAGGCCACCTCAGCCCCCCAGCGCCCCTTCCCACCAGGCGCTCCCCGCGGCCCCACCCCCGTTCTCCTGACACGTCCCGCCACGCTCCAGGCCCGGGCTCGCCCCCACACACCCAGGCTCGAGCGCCCTGCCCCCAAGCCCCCCGTTCTCCCCGCGGGCTGGGCTCCTTAGGCCCTCGGCGTGCGCTGACGTGCTCCCTGCACGCGGGTGGGGGCTGCCGGCCGCCCGGGCCCTGCGTGGGAGCCGGGCCTTCTCCGCGGCGCGGGCGGCAGGGCCGCGGCAGGCCGAGGCGAGCAGGTGCCGCGCCATCTGCGCCCTGACCTGCTTGGACGCTGGCCCAGCAGGGGCGGGGCTCGGAGCGGCTCTGGCAGGGGCCGGTCCCTCTGCTGCTGCCGGGGCGGGCCCTTCCGTCCACGGGATGGCTCCAGGGCTGGGGGGTGGCCCTGGGCGCCTTTCGGGTCAGGGCCTCCAGGGATGGCGAGACCCGGCTCCTGCCTGGATGCTGGCGGGCGGGGCTGCTGCCCTGCTCCCCCCGAGGGCGCAGCCTGTGGGCCTCCCCAAGCTCAGGGGAGCCAGCCCCGGGCCCCCCACCTTCCCCCACCTGCCTCTGGCCATCTGTCCCCTGTCCAACTGCACACCGGAGGCCGAGGCTGGGCCTTGGGTGGGCTGGGGGCCTCCGGGGGACGCTGGGGAATCCAGCCCTGGAGCGGGGCTGCTGAGGGAGGGGGTGTGGCAACCGGGCCACCGGGCCAGCAGGGCTGGGGGCAGAGGGCCCCGCGGGGACAGGCATCCGGGTGCTGCTGGCTGAGGCAGGCCTGGGGCTAAGCAGCCCTGACTTCAGACCCACAGCCCAGAGGGCGCTGGCCAAGGCCAGGCGTGCGGCATGGACGCTGCCCTGTTCCGGGAAGAGCCTGCCGCTGGCCACTCTGTGCCGCGGCCCCCGGTGCCAGGCCCCTCCCAGGCCATGGGCCTTCAGCGCAGAGGAAGTGCTGGGGCTGCTCTGGGGGACGAGCTGGAGGCTCCCCACACCGGGATGGCGCAGCAGCGGTGAGGGCTCCCCAAGGGCGCGACAGTCAGGCGAGGGGGGGGGGCAGAGTGGGAGGCCGTGCGGGAGGACACACGGGGGCCGCAACTGGGCGGGGGCTGGGGCTGTGGGTGGGGCGGGCAGGGCGGCCGTGGGCTGGGCCTGGACTCTCCAGCACCCCAGTACAAGCAGAAGAGCTGCTCTCCAGCCGTCGCGGGAGGTCCACCGACCAGGGGGTGGGCGCAGACAGCTGGGGGGGCGGGGTGACCGCCGGAGGCCCCCCGAAGGGACCCTGGGGCAGCTCCCTTGTCCAGCCCACAGGCAGCTGCACGCACCTCGGGCCGGCGCCCGGCCTGCCGGCTCCAGCAGGGGGCAGTGTGGCTCCAGGGAAGGCCCGCGGCGACAGGGTGGGGGTGAAGAGCCAGACAAACGACGGGAGGGAGGGCTGGTCCCGCCCCTCTCCCTGCCTGCCCACACCCGCGGGCGCCCTCCACCGCAGCCCTCCTCTGGGGGGCACGGCTGTGCCACAGGCTGGCAGAGTCCTGCCGCGTCCACCCTGGGGGGCCGCCAGCCGCTCAGGCCACCCAGCGCCCTCAGGCCGGTGGGGATGAACCCGCTTGGGGTGCTGAGGGCCAGAGGCCGGGTGGATACTGCCCTCTAGCTAGCTGGGGAGAGGGAGCCGGGGATGGGGGCCCGGCTGCAGCCGGGGCTCATGGGCTCAGCAGGCATCTTCCCTTGGGGAGTCGGCCCCCTGTGGGGCCACTTCGCAGGCCCTGGGTGCCAAGGAAGGGCACGAGGAGGCAGCAGTCAGGGAGGCCAGGCCGGGCCCTCACAGCAGTTCTCCGCACTCCTGCCCCCTCCACGTGGGGCCCCTGTGCGGCGGGTGCCCCAACCCAGCTCAGGGACCAGGTGGCCGTTCTGGCCCAAAGCTCCCGGCCCCTCCCCTCTGCCCACTCACCTGGGCCGGCCCAGACATGCGCGGGTCCTCCCGTGCCAGCCCCTCCCTCTAGGCGCAAGGACGACAGCCGCCCCCAGAGCCAGCAGGGGGCACAGGGTTCGGCCCCATCCCAGGGCGCTTTGTGCAAAGAAATCGGTTTTCGGGAGGGCGAGGAAGTGGCGCGTGTGACTGAGACAAAGCGAAGCTGCGTGGGCATGCGGGGGGCGGGGGCCGGCGCCTGGCAGAGTCGGGGAGCGTTCACAGATGCGGCCGGCCCGGGCCGAGACAGGTGCAGCCCCCCCATCTGGAGGCCCAGGCTCTGGCCGGCCACCGTGATGTGGGGAGGCCCTCGCCCGGCCAGGACGTCACTATAGTCACCCAGAGACAGCACGAGCCTGGGAGAACACCCCGTGGGCGCCCTCGGCCCACGCCAGATGTGCGGAGCGGGCGGGGACCAGGCTACAGGGCCCCCGAGACGGCCACCGTGAGTGCTGCAGGGACAGAGGTCACCTCAGGGGGCAGCAGCAGGGCGAGGCCAGGGCAGGGCCCGCTCCCCCTGTATGTGTCTGGGGTGAAGCCAGGGCCAGGACCGGGAGTGTAGGAATGGAAGTGGCCACAGGCCGAGGACCAGGCACCGGAGCAGTCGGGGGCGCCGGGAGAGCGGGCCTGGGCCCGGGCAGTGGCACCGCAAGAGACACAGGTGGGCTCGCCGGGAGTCAGGCTCCGAATAAACCAGGACTGGCTGAGCCTGCCCACCCCCGAGATAAAGTGCGGCCCAGCACCATGCCCGACCCTGGGGTGAGAAGCAGGTGGGCCAGAACATGGGGTGGCGCTGCCTCTGGCTGGGCGCAGGGCACACACTGGTCAGCTGGCCTGGGAGGCCCCACGAAGACCCTGAAGCCACCAGGCCCCTGCGAGCCACCCTGGCCCCACACCACGCACGGGCTCCCGAGCCCGGACCCGGGCCGCGACCCCAGAGGCCTGGGAATCCGCGTCTCCTGGCTCACGGGCGCCCCACTGCGCACACTGGCGCCTCTGTTACAGGGCACGGCCTGCCTCGCTCGTCATCTCCCCACACAGGGGCCGAGGTGCCAGGACGCGGCCTCCCGGCTACGCGGGGCATGCAGACGTGGGATGAGGCCACGGGTGAGGGCCTGTCACACGGGCGACTCAGGCCCAGCCCCACCCCAGTGTGCCCTCCCAGGATGTGGAGGGAGCCGATACCTGTCGGTCCGGGGGCACTGCTGACCGGGCATGGCCAGGCTGGCTGGGATGCCGGGTCCCCGGGGCGGCACTCCAGGAACTCGTGCTGGAGCCAAGTGGCCAGCCGCCTGTGGACACCACCGAGTGCCCGGCGAGGGCATGGCCACGAGACTGGACGAGAGGTGCCCGGCCCAGGGCTGTAGGGGGAGCAGGCAGAGGTGGGTGTGGCAGCGCAGAGTGAGGGGAAGGGGTCTGGAGATGAGAGGTCCCAGGAGAGGATCCTTTATGGACTAAAAGTTTTAAATTTGCTTTGCTGGGCCTCCCCGGCAGCGCAAGGGGTTAAGACGCAACCTATGGAGCTGTCCGCAGCCGCTGCAGCACCAGTTCGATCCCCGGCCACCGGAGGAGGGTCCCACATGGCGCGCAGACCTCTCCTGCCGCCCGCTGCTCCCCCCAGCAGTGTCCTTCGGTCCGTCTGCCTGTTCTGCTCCCCGCTCTGGCTCTGGCGAGTCTCCCACCCCCCACCTCTGGCCTGCAGCCCAGGTCTCGCATGCATAAATAAACCAATCTTTGAAAACTAATACATGAATTTACTCTTCAGTGCTGGAGTCCTTCAAAATACTCTCACGTAGAAAGTTGATGTGAAACGGAGCTGAAGTTTCCTAAGTCGCGGAGACCTGGGGTTTCTCGGGGCACGGCCCTGTTGCCTGGCAGTCCAGCCCGTCACACACGCCTGCCCATGGGCATGCGCACGCCCAGCACCCCTGCAGAGCCGGCCTTGAGCAGGTGGCTGCTGGCCATGTGCACAGGAGCGGGGCTCTCAGCCCGGCCGTGGAAGGCCCCGTCTCTGGGCGCGGCGCAGACCCAGTGGCACCCTCGCCCGCTCAGCCACCAGGGGCACTGTCCTGGGCACGACCCCGAGCTCAGCAGGTGGATACGGGCCCTGTTCCCCAAATGGGCCCTTGGCTCCTGCCTGGCCACCGGCACCACGGAGCCCAACCCCTGCCCTGAGCCAGGACTTACCCGACATGAGGGCACTGCTGGCTCCAGCTTGGGGGGTGGTGGCTGGGCCTTCCTGCGCGCCCTGCCCGAGTCCTGCCACAGGTCTCCGTGCAGCGCCCAGCACAGCCCACACAGGCTGGGGGGCTCCGAGGAAGGAGGATGGGGGCCGCCCCTGAAGAGGCGGCTTTCTGGGGAGCAAACCCTCACTCCGGGGGCAGCGGACAGTGCAGGGACACACCTGCTCCGTCCCAGGGGAGGGCGACGGGCAGAGCGGTGTGGGCGGAGGACGGGCTCCTGGGGCTGCCGGGGCCAGGTTCTGGCGTCCACGTAGCCTGAGCCTCGCCCAGGTCTGCTGTGTGAGCAGGCGAGAGGCGGCTCTACCCACCGCTGCAGCCACAGCCCCCCTGGCACCTGCCCCTGCCCGAGCGGCGTCCCTCGCCGGCCAGTCCAGGCCCTGCAGGCTCCCGGGGTTCTGTGACGCCCTCCCGCCTTCCGGATCCCTACAGCCTGTGCCCACAGGAAACATGGTGGGGTACGCCCTCACCCGACACCCAGCGTCCCCTCAGCACCTGCGTGCCCACCCAGGAGCCTCAGGCCCGTGGGCCCAGAGGCAAAGACGCGTCGCACTGTTGCGGGTCTTTATTGGCTGTGTCTGGGCACCTGCGGCCCAGGCGCTTTGCAGGGGGTGGGAGGGTGCTGGGGCTCTGCCTGCCCCCCAAGCCACCCACCTCTGTCCAGGCACAGGGCTCTAGGCTGGGCCCGCGGGGGCGCCCTGGGCATCTGGGTAGAATTGCCGGAGCAGATCCTTCTTGTTGATCTTCCCCATCGGGTTCCGCGGGATCTCCTCCACCAGCAGCAGCTCCGCGGGCACGGCGTACGGCGCCAGCACCCCTCTGCAGAGACAGGCGGCCTGAGCACAGCCACCCGGGCCTCTGGCCCCCTCGCGGGGCGGCTCCAGGCCACGGGCTGGGGTTGGTACCCGACCAACCCGCCCCAGAGCGCACTCGGCCCGCTGCCAGGCACACCCAGGCCGGGGCTGGCTGGGACCTGGTGCCCTGCCCGGCTGCCGGCAGCTCAGGCTCCGCGAGGGGCCAGGCCAGGCTCTGCCGGGACGAGTCCAGGACTGGCCTGTCGGCTCTGCTGGGCAGTATGCGCCCTAAGGTGAAGGCCACGCTGGGGGCCGCCCGGGCAGCAGGCCAAGCTGCTCGGCAGAAACACCGCATGGAAAGCTGGTCTGGCCCCTGGATGGCGAGTCTGGGGAGGCAGGGGGCTCGGCAGGCAGGACTGTTCTGCTCTGGGGCCGGCAGCCGCCACTGTGGGGTGGAAGCCAGGGGCTCCCCACGCCGCTGGTGTGTCCACCCCACGCGGCCATTTCGATGTGCAGAGCGTGGGGAGGGAGTGTGGTGGCCGTGAGAGATGCAGGCCGGAAGGCTGGCCCTGGGAGCAGCGGGCGGGGCCCCCACGCAGGGAGCGAGAGCCAGGGCCTGGGTCTCCGCGTGAGAGTCAGGTGGCAAATAGAGGGGAGCCCTTCAGAAAGGACCCTGGGTGTTAGCCCCCCTCCCCGGTGCTCTTGGGGAAGCTGAGGTGGACACAAGGCCCCTGCCCCTCTGGAGACCCCCCGGGGCGTGTCCAGGGTCTGGTCGCCCACAGTCGTCTGCCCCGGCCTGAGCAGGGGAGGGACCAGAGCTGGGAATGGAGACGCGCCTGTGCCCGGGACAGCTCAGCACGGGCGCAGGCTCCGCCTCGGCTGTGAGACCCGAGTAACCGGTCACCCAGGGGTTGGGCCACAGGGACCCCAGCAGGTGCGGCCGTGGGGGTGGGGCCGCTGGAGAGGCCTTGCTGCGCCCGCAGAAACATCCCCAGTGCCGGGCAGTGGGGCGGGCAGGCTGGGGAGAGCAGTGAGGGGGAGCGAAGCACAGCAGCCCCTGGAGCTTCCTTCTGGGCTGAGGACACTGTACGTGGCGGGGCCAGAGCCAGGGCCCCGCCCCACCGGGCCGACTGGGAAGAACGCTTTGGTGCCCAGCTGCCCGCGGCCTGAGGAGCAGGGACGCCGCACTGGGTGAGTGGGGTACGGGGGAGCCAAGGGAGCTGGGTGCGGCCCAGTGCTGCCCGGCACGAGCGGGGCCTGCTCAGCGCGGAGAGTGGGCAGCGGTGGCTGGGAGCATGGCCCTCCAGGCTCCTCATCCCCACATCCACCTGCGTCTCAGGGTGTCCGGAAGCACCACGCCCCCCAGCCCCAGCCCCAAGATCCCACCACCCCCAGATCACAGTCCACTGGCCGCCCCCACTCCCGCCACAGGCCCGCCCTCACCGTGCCCACTCCTTGAGCTCCCTGAGGGACAGCGTGTGTCCTTCCTGAAGGGTCAGCACGGCGGTGACTCGCTGCCCCCACGTCATGTCTGGAACTCCGATCACGGCCACATCTGCAAACAGGGGAATGGTCGGGGTCTTGCACACCTGGGATGATCGTTCAGGCTGCAGGGCACCTGGGAGGGGCAGGGCGGCCAGGGCCCGAGCCCAGAAGACCCTCCTCCTGCCTGCGCCCATGGACGGCCTGAGACGGCTGCCTGGGCCCTTGCAGCTGTGACCTGGCTCACCCCCTGCTGGGACCCCCGGGCCTCCTGTCCTCCCCCAGCCCCCAGGCCAGGCAGAGCCCATGGGCCAGGAGGCGCCTCGGGCCTGGAAGGAGACCCGGTCCCCACATGCGCAGCCCCCGCCCAGCCGGCCTGGACAGGGCGCCCACCTGTGATGCTGGGATGTGCCAGCAGCAGCCGCTCCACCTCCAGGGCGCTGACCTTGTAGCCGCCGCTCTTGAGGATGTCCACGGAGGTGCGGCCCCGGATCCAGTAGGCGCCGTCCCTGAACACGGCCGTGTCACCTGCGGGCGGGCTGGGTCATGGCAGCCGCGGGGTGGAGGCCCCCCCACCTGAGTGCCCTCCCCACACGTGGCCTCCGGCCCTTGGGAGGAGACGGCCAACAGACATCCAGGGCTCTGACCTCAGCCACAGCCTCTTGGGCCGCCCCCCGGGGACAGCGGGCGGCCGTGGTGACCACGGGGCTGGGGCGTCACGGCTGAGCAGCTGGGGGTGGACACAGGGACTCGCTCCCTTGGCCCCGGAATGCAGGTGCACACACAGGCGCAGGCGGGCGGGCTGGGGTGAGGCACACGCGTGTGGAGCACGCTCTCCCTGTGCCGCGTGCCCCGGGGCGGTGACTCGCGCTGAGGGGTGCGGGCGCCTGGGTGGCTCCGAGCGGCGGGTCTGCTGCCCGACCGAGGCGGCGCTGGCTGGAAGGATCTCGGCACCGGCTGGTGGGGCAGCGCCACCCACCACCCACGCGCTCGAGCAGACGCGCACACCCACCGCCTCTCCCGGGAGGCCCGAGGCCTGGCGCCCGCCTGCCCCTGGGCCCCCACGGTCTGGCCTCTGTCCTGCCGGCGGGTCCCCGCTCCGAGGCGGAGTGTTGCGGGCGGCTGCTCCTGCAGCACTCGGCGCGGACGCAGCGAGAGCCCCTGCCTGCTCGGGCTCGCGGGACAGAGCACACGCAGCTCAGGGCGCCCGCACGTCTGTCCCGGGCCTCATCCCTGGCAGCGGGGCCAAGGAGCACCTGAGGGTTTCTGGCCCTAGAATTGGCGGTCTCTTGTCTGAAGCGTGTGCGTGTGCCCTGCCTGTGTGCTTGTTCACACTCACTCTGCTCCATGAGCGCGTGTGCAGGCCCAGTGCACGACGCCACATGCCGCGCTCACGTGTGCTCATGCATGTGCCCTGTGCCGTGTGCCGCGTGCCTGCGTGAGCCTGTGCCCGCCTAAGCCTGTGACCGCCTGTGCCGCGTGCCTGCGTGCCATGTGCCCGCGGCCTGGTGGGGGCGGTGCTGCTCAGGAGGGACCCAACGGGCGAGGGAAGGGCCAGCATCAGGGGGCCTGGGGCAGGGCCGCGACTCGGGTGTCCTCGGGCAGTGGGGGGCCCCAGGGCCCGTGGCTAGAGCGCCTGCATGCGTCCCTGCAGAGCCAGGAGCGGGGACCAAGGGCCCAGGGCTGGTGGCATCACGGGCCCCGACTTCTCCCCTCGTCAGACAAAAGGTGGCGAGGGGCCTGCGCCCGCAGCTTGCCCCGAGGCGGGGGCAGGAGGGGCTGGCCAGGAAAGGGTTAAACCTCATCTCCCCTGATTTCTATTTAGCACCACGCGGTCCCCGCAGGAGCCGGCAGCTGGGAGCTGATTGCGCGGCCTCATCACGCAGCCCGTGTCGCTAATGGCCTGTGACAAAGGCGTGCGGCTCCCGGCTGCCCCCCGAGAGCCAATTAAACACACACACTCCCTTCCTGTTTGCGGTGCATTACAATGAAATTAAACCGAATTTCAAAATCATTTTCTCCTAAAGACATCTCTTTACAATAATTAATGCACGCGACGCGCTTTCAGCTGGCACGGCCCTCAGGAGGGCGCTGAGCCACCTCCACACCGCCCGCCCGCCCACCCGAGCAACCACCACCCCGCACCCCGCGCCCTGCCGCCAGCGATGCCCACGGGCTCTGCGGCCTGCGTGGTCAGAGGGAGAGCCCGTAGCTGTCCAGCTGACTTTAAGGGGAAGGGGAAGGTCAGAGCAAGTCTGGGTGCCCCATCGGGACGGCCCGGCCCCTGGGAGCCTTGCGCAACAGAGCAGGGCAGCTCGAGCGCATGCCCAGGACACCACCTTGGAGGGCAGTGAAGGGATGTGACGAGGCCGCCAGGCAGCCGTGAGCCCTGGGCCAGCTGCACCTGCACAGACAGCGGAGGCCACAGGGAAGGCCATCGGCCCAGCCCTGCTCCCAGCTCTGACCAGTCCTGGACACGCACCTCCCAGGTGCCATGGGCACAGACAGGCGTGGAGGCCGGGACAGGGTCCTCTACCCACATAGGTGAGCGTCCACGAGGGCTGTGGGCACACACGGTGGACGTGGGGCTGAGCCGGACCAGCAAGCATGGCCCGAGGTGCCACCTGCCCCCAAAGCCCCCCAGGCCTCACAGACGTCCAGCAGCTGGGTCCCCAGAACACCGAGATGCCTGGGGCTCCACACAGTGCCCAGTCCATCACTAGTGACCCCAGTAGACAGAGGACACGGCCTGAGCACTGGACACTGGCCTCTCCTCTCACTGTTGCTGTCAGGAGGCTCCGCCCCATAGCGGGGACCAGGCCTGCGCGGGAGGCCGGGAGAAGGCTTTCCGTTTTGAACAAAACTACCTTAAGGCATCACAAACATTGTGTCCCACGCGGCAGCTCTGAAGGCACAGGCATACCCTGGAGTGGGGGTGCACAGCTGCGAACAGCACCCCGCTTGGGGAGAGAGCGCCCAGCCTGCCGGCTGGAAGACCCCAGGGGCCCTGGTGGGCAGACACCGGGGTGGCCACACCCCACCCGGCCCTCCTACCTGTCTTGAACCAGCCGTCCGGGGTGAAGGCGCCCTTGGTGGCCTCCGGCTTGTCCCAGTACTCCCGAAACACAGAGGGTCCCCTGACCAAGAGCTCCCCTTCCTTCTCCTTGAGCCCCGGGGTCACCTGCAGCATGGGGGCAGCAGTGAGCCGGGCACACACGGGCTTGTCCTCCCTGGCCTGCCCTGGCTGCCAGCCTCTGGGAAGCGGGCACTGTGGGGGCAACTGAACCCACAGCGGCCGGCCAGCCCTTGGGGGGCAGCGTCCACGCCTCTCGGCCGCGCTCCTAACAGGGGGGCCCCGGCTGGGCCACGGGCGACACGGCAGCCCGGAGCCAACAGAACACGTTTCCTTCCCAACATCCTATCCTCCAGCCCCACACCTCCAGGCCGCACCCGCCCAGCACCACAGCCCAGCCCAGTGTCCTGGCACTGACAGCTCTCAGGAGCCACTGCTCTCAGACCTCACGCGTGCCTCCCGGCCGGCACCTGTCCCTGCCCTGGCACCCAGCAGGGCATCCGTCGGGCGACAGTGGTTACCAGAGTCGGGGCCCAGGGAGAGCAGGTGGGTAGCTGGGGTGGTACCGGGCAGGTGGCCAGGTGGCTAGTAAGCATAGGCCTGCACGTCCGTGGTTTCAGAAGCAGAGGCCGAGAGCCAGTGGGAGGGGGCTCTCTGGCCACCACTCGGTGTGTGGTCAGTAGCAGGTGGACACAGGGGAGGCATTTTCCTGGGCAAACAGGACACCTACTTCTTGCTGTCTTCTAAGAAATTTCATAAAGTTACACCGAAAAGCACCCGAGTCTTAGTTGCTGGAGCTGCCACGTCCCACCCTCATCTCAGAGGAAGACAGAACGGCCAGCTGGGGCGAGCATGGGGGCTGGAGGCCCCTCCTCTGAGCCACATGGGGCCATAAGCCTGGGAGTCGGCCAAGAGAAAGCAACTGCCTGTGAAATCCAGCGCCACCTCCTGGGTCCCTGGGGCTCTGGGCCCTGCTCCCGCCCCAGCAGGCCTGCAGCTGACACGAGACCGTGCAGCCCTCCTGCCCCGGCCGTGGCTGTGGAGTCGCCAGTCCAAGCCCGTCCACCAGCAGCGCCTGTGTCCGCCGTACGGGGTGGGCAAGGCCTGACCCAAGAGCGCGCACCCCTGAGGCCGGGGGCGGTGCCGGGCATGGAGAACCCTTCCCAAGCCGTCGCCAGCCCGCTGGGCGGCCGGCCGGGACAGCGGTGCACCTGGGTCCCCTGCTCGTTGCCTTCCGCGTGGAGGACATAGGGGCCGCCGTCCTTCTGCGGGTGCTCCGAGACGATGCGCACCTCGACGCCAGGCAGCGGGGTCCCCACGGATCCTGCAAGGAGGGGCGGCGGGAAGGAGACCTGGGGCCCTGCCGGGAGGATGGCCCCGGGCCGGGCCCCCGCATGCAGGCGTGGGGGGCATACCTGGCAGGCGGGCGGCGGGGCTCAGCGGGTTGGACAGGGCCATGCCGATCTCCGTCATGCCGTACCGCTCCAGCAGGGTGTGGCCCGTGAGGGCCCGCCACCGCTCCAGCACCGGCAGGGGCAGGGCGGCCGAGCCCGACACCATCAGCCTGCCGGCGAGAGGGGCGGCCTGAGCGTCGCCGGGACGGGCCGCTGGACGGGGCGGCAGGGACAGCGCCCCGCTGGCCACACTGCCGCTCGGGACGCCTGTCACACCCGCAGTCAGGGCGGACCTCAAACTTTGTTCCTCGAAAAGAACAAGTCGGCGCGCTTGATGGCAGCGGCCGCTCAAGGAAAAGGAGGCAACGGGGGTTCGCGGCCTTCCTTGAGGGCCCCCGCCCACTGCTGGGCTGTGTCTCAGCCGCGCCAGCAGGGCTCCCGCCAGGCCAGCAGGCAGAGCAGCCGGGGCCTGCGGAAAAGCAGGGGAAGGCCCCGCGAGGCCCTGGCCCGGGAACACCCACGGGGCGTCCCTGCCGGGAAGGGTGCGTGCCCCAGGAGGGGGAGGGCGGGGCGTCCTGCAGAGGCGGCGTCTGGGAACCCCCTCCCCGTGGAGCATGGGGACGAGGCCCCCTCGGCGTCCTCTCCTGCCCCCAGACAGACGGACGCACGCAGGCGCGGGGGCACACGGAGCGCCCCGGGGTGCGGGTGAGCCGCGCGCGGAAGAGGCCAGCCTCCTGAGAGCTGGCCGCGCGGACGGCGCTGGGCTCCGCGCGGGAAGCCGGGCCGCCCTCACCTGATGTTCTCCTCGCAGACGGCGCGGACAAAGTCCCGCACGTGCGGCTGGGCGAAGTGCCTGTCGTGGTAGTCCATCAGCTTGGAGTAGATGGTGGGCACCGCCATGAACACGTTCACCCGCGGGGCTTCCGAGCTCAGGAGCTTTTCCCAAACCTGAGCGAGAAAAAGGGAGGCCCTCAAGAGAGACAGGTGGAGGGAGTGACCTGGCCAGGGGGACTCTGGCAGGAGTCGCCCGCTCACCCCTCCAAGGTCAGCCCCACCGTGCAGCGGGACTCCAGCCCACGGAGGACAGGTGCACACTGCCGCCAGCAGCTCAGGCCTGCACGAGCCCACCTGGCCTCAGGGGCCGCCAGCCCAGGCAGAGCCGGGGGCTCACATGGGGGCCTCCCCCTGCCCCCACCAGCCGGCCCCACAGACTCGCCTGCTGGGCGCTGAACTCAGGCAGCATCACGCAGGTGGCGCCCACCCAGAGCGGGCACAGCAGCTTGTTGACCACGCCGTGGACGTGGTGCAGCGGGAGCACGTGCAGGATGACGTCATCCTTGGTCCAGGCCCATCTGTGCACCAGCCCGGTCACCTGCAGACAAGCTCTGCTCAGCCCAGGCGACCGCAGCTCTCGGGGGGCACCTGGGCCTCCACGCGAGAAGGGCTGCGGCTCCGTGGCCCGGGAACGCCAGTTCCGAGTCCGAGCTCACTTCTGGCTCCTGCTGCGCAGCGCAGTGGGCACGTCAGCGCTTCTGGACGCGAGAGCGAGTCAGCCCAGGGGCCGGGGAGTCTGCAGCCGGGGTTTGGGGGCTAAAGTTCAGTCCTGTGCCTGGCAGATGGGACAGGAGCTTAAGCCGAGGAGGGGAGCTGACGCGGAGGCCTTGGGCAGACGGGGGGCCCCGAGATATGGCTGAGACGGGACCTCACCGCCCCCTGCACCCAGCGAAGCCTGGGGTAAGTTCTCAAACTGCAGGGCCTGCCAGGCCTTGGCAGGCAGCACCCCACAACCATGTCCTAATCTCAGGGTGCCCCCAACTCAAAAAACAGGCATCCTCGCCTGTCCTCAGCAGACACCCTCGACTCGCCCTGTGTCCACCGCAGGCACACAGGATCTGCCCTTCCTACTGCCCCCTCGCCCCCCGGCGCCCCTCGCGGCATGGCCGAGGCTGAAGACAAGCAGGGCACGTGGCCGTGGCCAGAGCATCCCGTGGGTCCCAAGAGGGACCTGCAGTTGGTGTCCTTGCAAACCCCCAGCACCGTGCGTCTCGTCCACCTCGTCCCATGGGAGCCCTCAGGGGGCCTAAAGCCCTCCACCCCCCAGGCTGCTCCAGGCCAGCCCCCCTCGCCAGCCCGGCGTCCTCAGAGGTCCTTCGGGGGGACTCGGGGGGCTGGCAGGCGGTGACAGCCCTGGGAAAGTGAGCGGCCACCGGGAAGGCACTTGGCCTGCACCGCGGGGACCCCAACAGCCGCACACTCACCACAGCCCTGATGTTGTGATGGGTACTCAGGACACCTTTGGGCCTGCCCGTGGTCCCGCTGGTGTAGATGATCATGGCGCCCCGGTCCCGCCAGTCCCGCTCGGGCATGGCCCCCTCGCTAGGCTCCTCGGCCCCGTCGCAGACCTCGGGCGTGAGTGGCAGGAGCGGGACACCCAGCTTCCCGGCCACGGGGCGCAGCAGCTCCACGTGCTCCAGGCCGGCGAGCACCACGGAGCTGCGCGAGTCCTGGAGGAAGTACTCCAGTTGGGCTGGCGGGTGCCCGCGGGGCAGGGGCACGGCCACGCCCCCGCTCATCCACACGGCCCACTGGGCCAGCACGTAGGAGGCATCGTTGGAGCACAGGAAGGCGACCCTCTCCTCGCCAAGGTCCCCACCCGCGCAGGCACGCAGCCCGCACAGTTCCCGGGCCAGGCGGCAGCTACGCCGGTACAGCTCTCGGTAGGTGTGGCGGCCATGGCGGTCCACCAGCGCCGTCCTGTCTCCGAAGGCCAGGGCACGGGTGAACACCGGGGCGCTCCTGTCGGGCTGGGATGCCGGGGCCAAGTGCAGGGAGGCGCTCCGGCTGTGCCGCGCCTGGGGAGCCGGCCGGCAGGGGGCCAGGGCCCGGACCAGGCGCCGGAAGGACATCGCCACGTGGGGCCACACCGCGCTGACCAACATGGTGACTGGAACGAAGCTGAAAGAGAGGGCGCTGGGGTGAGAGCGGCCTGAGCGAGCAAGATGCAGAGCGGTCACCTGCCGAGCCCTCGCCCCGCCCCCGAGTCAGGAGGCACCCCAGCAAGGAGAGCGCCTGCCCCGGGACACGCCTACCACTCAGGCGCTAGCTTAGCCGCATGAGTTTAAGGACCCCCGGGCCCTCAAACACCCTGAAACAATGAACCGAACCAGGCAAAACCGAAGAAGCTCCTGGAGCGCGACGCACCTGTGGCTGTTTCGGAACGACAGTGTTCCGGGGTCTGAGTCGGGACTCAGCGGGAACGCGCCCGCGGGCAGCCTGGACACCAGGCGCCAGCAGGCTCAGGCGGGCCCCGCCCTGGGCGGCCCGCAGCACAGTGGGCGCTGGGAGGCCGGCGGAGGCCTGGAAGCAGGCTCCTGGGTGAGGGGCGGACTGTTTCCAACCTGGAACCTGGCTCCGCGGCGCCCGGGGCTGGCAGGACTGGACAACCACCGAGCCAGCAGCAGCAGCAGCAGGAAGCTGGGCCCGCGGCCGGGCGGCCAAGCTCCTGCAGGACAGGAGGGCCGGGCAGGGCCCGGGGAGTCTGCCTGCTCTGCCCGCGCCGTGAGCACCGCAGCCGGGGCGGCCGGCGGCGATCCTCAGTGTCACGCGCCCGGGGACTGAAGTGTCCCCAACACAGCCCCCCAGGCAGAAGGGGAGCCGCTGGGTGCCGCCCCTCGGCCAGAGAGCGTCCCTGACCCCGAGCGGCCGCTGGCCCACGGGTGCTGCCGCAGTTAGGCCCGGCCGGTCCTCACCTCGCGCTCGCACGGCGGCCCCCTGGCCAATGAGCTCGGCGCCCGCTTCCCACCCCATGGACCCGGGGAAAACTCAAAGTTGGGGCCCACCCCACGGCGGTCCTGGCGACGGGGAGGGGGCGCAGGCCCGGCCCTGGAGGACCGCCGGGCCCTGGACGGCTGCAGTTCAAGCCGCGCAAGGAGCCAGGCCCCGCGCCCCCCACGCCCCCAGGGTGGCTCTCCTGCGCGGGGACCCCACGGGGGGGGGCAGCGCGCTCCACACTGCCCGCTGTCGGGCGGAACCCGCGGCCCCTCAGAGGCCCCGGCAGCCGCTGGGGTCCGGGCTCCCCCGCGCCGGGCGCCGACCGCGGCCGCCGGACACCCGCGCCGAGGCCCCGTCTCCCCGCCCGCGCCCCGCGGCCAGGTCCCCCCGCGACCGGCGAGGGTCCCGCCAGCAGCCCGCGGGTGGGGGCGCCCCAAGTTGCGTCTTGGGGAACAGACTGCTCGCCGCACGCGGGAGCCCCGACCCGCGCGGGAAGGCGCCCCGGCAGGGAGCGGGCGGCCGGGTGCGGGGTCCCGGCAGTGCAGGGGCGGGGGCGGGGGTCACGGGGCGGGGGCGGGGGGTCACGGGCCGCGGGGGCGGAGGGCGGGGGCGGCGGGGGTCGCGGGCCGCGGGTCGCGGGGGCGGGGGTCACGGGGCGCGGGCCGCGGGGGCGGCGGGGGTCGCGGGCCGCGGGGGCGACGGGGGTCGCGGGGCGCGGGCCGCGGGGGCGGGGCGCTCTACCTCCGCCGGGGTGTCCCGCGCCGCCGCTCGGGCCGGAACCGGAACCGGCGCGCACCGCGTCCGTCCGGGCGGGCTCCCCCGGAGCGGCGGCCCCGGCGCGCGGGTTCCGGCGGTCGGCGGGTCCCCGGGGCGGGCGCGGCCCCCAGGAAGGCCCCGGCCGGCGGGCCGGGACGCGACCCGGGCGGGGCCGGCCGAGCCTGGGGGTGAGCGCGCGGAGCCCGCGGTCTCGCCCCCTCCGAGGCCGGCGCCGCGCCCCCCGGCCCCCCGGTACCCCCCGGCCCCCCGGTACCCCCCGGCCCTCCGGCCCCCGGTCCCCCGGCCCCCCGTACCCCCGGCCCCCCCCGTGCCCCCGGCCCCCCCGTGCCCCCCCCCCGTGCCCCCCCGTGCCCCCCCGGCCCCCCGTGCCCGGGGTCTGAGGGCGCCGGCCGAGGGGCGCAGCCGGGCCGCGTCAGGCCGGGAAGCGGGGCGGGGCGCCTCAGGGGCCGCCCGCAGCCCATGGGGCCGACGTTGGGGGCCGGGGCCGAGCGCCACGCACCCCTCTCCCCGCCGCGGGGCCGCCGCGAGCCAGGCTCCTCCCGCGGCCGCTGCGGGCGGCCGGCCCCGAGGCCCCGGCGGGAGGCGCGGGCGCACCGGGGCTCTGCCCTGCGCGGGGTCGGGCCGGCCTCCCCCGCCCGCGGCCGCCCCCGGGGTGTCTGGCTCCGGTCGGTCTCGTGGACCCCACGCCTGCTGTCCGCGCAGGGTCCCGGGAGACGCCGCCGCGCCCGCCAGGCTCCCCCCGGCAGCCTCGGGGCGGGGGTCCCACTGGCCCCCGAGGGCTGGAGCGCGGGCGCGGCCGGTGGCGCAGGGGCCTGCCCTGGGCTCCGACCTCCCCCCGGGCCCCCGGAGCCCCTCTCTGGTCAGTGCCCGCCCCACCGTGCTCTGCGGGTGAGGGGCTCCTGGGTTTAACCAGAGGGACAGCCGGGTGGTCCTGGCCCTTGTCCCGCGGGCCCTCCCTGCTGCTGCCCACGTGCTCCCAAGAGCTGTGCTCCCAGGCCCTGGCCGCGGGGCCTACCTGTCCCCCCGCGGGCGGCCCAGGAGAGCTGCGCTCGAGCACGCACAGGAGGCGGCCCAGCGCTCCCAGCTCTCAGGGCATCCCGGCTGCAAGCAGTGTCCAGGCCCACGTGGATTGGGCTTCCAGGAGCTGATGAGGCTCAGGGAGGACGAGGGTTGACAGTGACCAAGTGCTGCCCTGGGGTCTCACGCAATCATGGAATAGCCTCGGTCTGCGTAAGGACTTGGGGCCCAGACCAAGGGCCCTGCCCTTCCTCTGTCTTTCTCGGTGGAGGGAGGGGATGCCCCAGGAAGGAGCCTGTGGGGCCCAGCACCCCTTTCCTGCACACATCACAGAAGACACAGGGGTCTTCTATCTCACAGATCCTAAGACAAGAAACTGATGGGGTGGGCACCACGGAGCAAGTGGCCGAAGTCAGCAGCCCAGAGCCGTCCAGCCTGGCAGACGTCCACCCAGGCAGCTGGCCCCGGTGGGTTCTGGCAGAAGCAAAGGGACACAGGCCCCTGGACGCCCGCAAGTCACTGCCACCTGCCCTACCCCTGGTGAGGCTGGGGTGGGCACTCCAGGAGAGCACGGTGCTGGATGAGGGACAGGTCAGTGTCCCCAGCACGTGGGTAGCCAAGTGATTCTGGCTGGGGGGTGGTGACTGCCCCCTATCACTAGGTGACCATGCAAAAGACCCTCTCCTAGCAGTGGGTGCCTGAACAGAGCACAGCAGAGCCACATGAGGCCAGAAAGGCTGGGGTGGCCACATGGGCAGCTGGCTAGGCAGGGTCTGTCCAGATCCTCCTCTGAGGACAGCTGGGCTCCCCAGGGCCTGGACACCCTGGCAGAAGACTGGCTGTATGCCATCCTTGAAGTCCTGCCGGGGGCACCTGGCCCCTTACCCACAAGCTCGGTACAAAGGCCATTTCGCTTCCCAGCCCAAGCCACTGCCCACATTGAGCAGCTGGGCGGGGGCCTCCAGGAGCCGGGGGCTGTCGAGGAGGCTGGCGGTGTGCGGGGCCTAGGGGCCGGCCCTTCGCTCTCAGGGGCTGGGCGGCAGCTGAGCAGACGTTCCCTGCCCCGGGTGAGGACAAGCTGCAGGCCACCCACAACCACGGAAGTGATGATGCAGGGGTCAGGGACAGTCCCGCCCTCCAAACCAAGCCCTGGACCTGGGTCACCTGCCTCGGGCCACTGGGCACAGCAGGTATGTGATCAGCAGAGCAAGGGGCTCGTCTGAACATGTCTGAGTTCACGGAAGTTTCTAGAAGTAGAGACGGAACGACCTGGCCCGAGGCTGCACCTCCTTGCTGGACTCCTGCAGCCCTGGGGGCTTTCTGGCTCCCATCCCGAAGGAAGCGCTTCTGGGACGCAAGGCCTGGTTTGTGGGGCCACAGAGGTGCACCCTCTTGGGGCACCTGGTGGGCAGGCACGGGGGGCGGGGTTCCCTGGGCCAGCTGTGGCTCCTTCAGGCTCCATCCCAGGGCAGCGTGTGCCCCAGGCTTGGCCCCAGGCCCACCGAGGCAGGTCTGGACCAGGGACCGGCGGCCGCAACAAGGGTGCCGCCTCAGTGCACAGGCGCCCTGCCCTCCGCGTGGCCTGCGAGTTCCTCCCGGGAGAAGAGGGAGGGGCTTCTCATGCCCCCAGGGCGAGGGGCGGCAGCACCAGGGACACGTTCCCACGGGCAGGGGAGGAGACCGGGCTTCTGAGTGGATGCTGTGCCCGCTGGACCCATGGCGGCTGAGGGGCGGGGGGCTCGGACACCCGCACGCTGCACCGGGCCTCAAAGGCAGCTCCCGCAGCAGCGCCGGCCGATCGAGCCCTGGGCACCCGGGTCTGCGTCGGGCTTGGGCGGCCTCCGCCCCGGCGGGGGTGGGTGCCCAAGAGTGACGGGTGACCCCCACCTACCCTGCCACCCGGGGCTTGGTGGGCGGGCCCGGGGTCACGGGCTCAGGTCGCAGGCAGCCCACGCTTCCGGGGCCCGCCGAGCCCTGGAAACTCCAGCGGGGCCTCCCCACTCTCCCTTCCTCTTTCCCCCGGCCTGGCCGGGCGAGGACCACACCTGGTCACCCACCCTGGGCCGCGGCCTGCAGCCGCGCCACCCCCCCGCCCTTCGCTCCTGGCCAGGGCGTGGGCCAGCGCCCGAGGGCCCAGTGCGCTCTCCTCCTGGAGGACGGTCTGTGGCGGGGGCACCCTCAGGGACCTGGGCACCCGCACGGGGCCGCAGGGGAGACAAAGAGGGTGAGGACCCTGCCCAGCCACGTGGCGGGAGCAGCTCCCGGCGTCTCCTCACAGCCAGTGCAGGCCCGGGACGGCCGGAGGGCGGGTGGCGGCAGGGACGGCCCCCGGAGCTTGTGCAGCCCTGACCGCGTCTCACTCCCGGGACCCAGGCCTCAGCCCTGCTCCAGCGTGGCCGGGGGCCCCAGGAGGGAAGGGCCTGACCGCAGAGCCAGGCCACTGGCTTGTCAGCGTGGCCTTGGGGCTCCACCGGGAAGGGGAGCACGAGGGGAAAGGTGGAGGGGGCGCCGTCGGGCACGGGAGTGGTCCCTTTGGGGGATCCTGGCCATCCTGGGTCTCCACGCAGCTGCCGGGACAGGGTCTCCCTGAAGGCAACCGCACGAGCCCCCACCTCGGCTGTGGCCCCCGGCTGCCCTCGCCCCCAGCTTCCTCTCCCCTGTCGTCTGCGGGGGCTTCGGGGAGCAGAGGGCGGACGGCCGCGGACCGAGCTGGTTTCGTGACCAAACACGTCAAAGCGGACTTGCGTGTCTTAAACCGGGGGCCACGCTGGCCGGTCACACCTCCGCGGTGTTTAGAACATGGTGCCGGGGCCGCATCAGCACCGAGGTCCGAGCCACGCCGCCCGCCCCCGAGGGCTCGAGTGTCTCTTCCACGTCCCCGCGTCCCTGGGGCGAGGCTGAGAAGCCCGGGCAGCATCTCACGTCTCTCTCCACGCGCCTCCAGCCTCCTCCCGGCTCCCCAACCTCCTCCTCCCTTCTCCAGCCTCCTCTCCCCCACGGGGGCCCCGTGGCAGCTT